GCTGATCGATGTCAATCTATTTCGAGAGGGTTTCTGTACAATATCAGCGCATCTTTGCCAATCTCGGCGTGATTCACACTATCTGTCCAGCTAAAACCAGTTTAGAGCTGGGCCATGGGCTGAGTGTCGCGATCGCCACATGCAGCGCCTGCCTGGCCCAAGCTAGCTGGCCTGGCTGGCCTGCACTCAACCCACGCAATTGTATTTTCAAAAATGATAAAAAAATTCTTTGTTCTCAAACTGTTTGCCAATGCGACGAGCGTTTGTCATCGACGTTGCAGCTCCGCGCTTGAGTTGTTGTGCTGGCGCTACTTGGTCAGGAGACGGGTGATGAACACAAACGAAGGTCGCTCAGCAGGCCAAGGAAAAGCAAATTTCCTAGAGTTACGTCCAAGCTCGTTTCAAGTCCTGAAGTATTTGAGCCAATTGAGGGGAGTGAAAGCGAACACTCGGCGAGTCGCAGGCTGATGGAGCTGGTGAGGGCGTAGAAGATGACTCTGATCTTCCAGCTGATTTTGTATTCAGTGATGCCTCGTGTGATAACGATGGAGATTAGTCTGAAGAGGATTGCGATGATATTCCATCAGGAAATCGAATTGTTCACATGGAGAGCTTACAGCAATTGGTGACGTCAGCGTGTGTATGTAGTAATTATCAAGAGGGCAACCTGACTATCAAAGATAATTTTCGTCATGGCCTCGCCTCAACAATTAGTTTGCAGTGCGAATCGTGCTGCTCATCAACCAGTGTAGCCCTGGCAGAAAGACACCCACTTGCTGAATTGTACGATATAAACCGCCGCCGCAGTGTGCTTGCCATGCGCCTTATTGGTAGTGGACGAGAAGGTCTGAACAATATCTGTGGGATATTGGATATGCCGCCTCCTGTTAGCAAGTCCAATTCTGGGCACAGCGATGCACTACACACTGCTGTGGAAACTGATGCTAGGGACAGCATGAAGAGTGCTGCACAGCGTCTTCTTGTTCGGCGAACAACAGAACAGCATTCCCACCCGGAGCATGTTGCAGTTAGCACCGATGGAACGTGGATGAAGCGCGGATTCTCATCAATGTTTGGTATGCCAACTGTTGTGTCCTATGAGACAGAAAAGGTTCTGAACGCGGAGGTGCTATCAAAACACTGCAGTGGATATAAAACTTGGAAGAACAGATGGCAAGCAAGAAAGATTTCTAATGCTGAGTACGAACAATGGAAATGTTTTCGGCTGTGCTGGAAATGATGAGCTGCTCTAAGGGTTCACTTGCCAGCTCTGGTCTTCTCAAGTTGGATGAAGAGAAGCAGTATCACAGGAGGAGAAGGTCCAGTGAGGAGCAAAAGTCAGCCAGGAAGAGAAGAAGAGCCATTCGAAAGGGATTTGCTGACACGATACAGCAAGCAGAGGTAGTCACATACATTGCTGGAGGGTTCTCAGAGTGCCAAAAGTTAGTGTTTTTTGGCCTTCCGACCAAACTTTGGTACACTATATCTCCGGACTGGCTCATCACAGCCCAATAAACCTTATATGTAGATTGATCAGTGGAAAATTTCCCAGATGCTGAATATATTTAAAGCCATAGTTTTTTGTTTGGCGGATGTTAGCTGCCTTAGTAGTAATAATCTTTTTCGACGGTGACGGGCGTCTTCACAGATGATGTTGACTGGGTGGTGCTATTTGTGTCCTATCTCCAATCTGTTCTATTCAGCATCTGCTACTGTTGTAGACTGTCGCTTGTGATGCACTTTTAACACTTCAGCTGATATTATGTTGCTGCTAGCATGTACCAAAAATCTGAGATGACGGCATTTTTTTACTCTCCAGTGCAGTGAACTTTTGGGACGATGCGAAGTAAATAAGTTCAAGGTAGTACTTTTATTAGGTGGTGGCGTGAATCATGAATCTGTGCTCAAAATTTTGTGGGAAAAGATTCACAGACGCCGAAGTAATACCCGATTTTAGTTGTGTGTATTTGCGAATGGCATATTCCAGTACTGCTACCTTCAAGTACTAATACTAGTTCAAGTACATGTAAATAATTGTAGTTGAAGTGTCCTCTCAATCACTGGCTTGACACAGAATACTGTTATGTGGTTATGCCCAAGTCCATGGTGACAGTACACACGACAGTCCGTGCGAAGGTACTACTAATATACTACTGATAGTAATATTAATAGCAAAACTTCAGAGAAAGAAACTTTTTGTTTGTTATGTTTTTTAAACTGTTGGCCAGTACATGCTACTACAGTAGTGCGAACACTCAGGGACAGAGCAAGACTTCAGAGAAAGAGACTTTTGTGTTTGCTACGTTTTTTGTTGGGGGTGAGACATGGCCTTGTTAGTTGCCATACAGGCATACTGCCTGGGGTGTGAGCGCGCCTCTTAGTGGCACCGAACTGGACACGATCAGGCCGCAAACTAGGCCTCTCTAGGGTCCAGCGGATTCTGCCTGCAGCAAAATTGGCAGAATTCGGTACTTTTTCTGGTTAGTTTCATGCATGTTTGGTATGTGGATAAAGAAATGGAGCAGACGTCGAGGAATTGCCCGCCATAAGGTTTGTATGGTACTGCCAATTTCACTGCTTTTCGAGCAGAATCTGCCACCTTTTCGAGCAGAATCCGCCGGTCCCTACGGCACAAACTGTGTTCTGTTGAGTGGTGTTACTGTGAGTTTCATCATGGCAATGTGGCGGCCTCCTCTAGTCTTGGGTTGAACACCTTCGTAAAACGCTGGCAACTTTGCTTTGTGCTGTAAAACATCAGTTCACTTGTAAACTCTTCCATCAGTCCTGCTTACAGGTGCAAGGAAACCGCTGCAGTGGAGTTGGAGAGTTCGTAGGAAAAGCATAAAAAGCAGTACCGGTACATGTACTAAGAAAGTACATTGTACATGTAATGCTGTTGTCCATTTTTCACCCTGCACTTTATAAATCAGCGCCCTCAATAAACCAGCATACTAGTGGATTATAATACTAATTTTCAGTAACCAATTTCCAAATATCCCCCCTCTTCATGGCCATGATGACCGCTGCTCAGGCGCTGCACCAATACATCAGATTTGCTAACCCAGCAACCCCCTAATTCAGCAGAATGTCCGCAGCACAAGATGGTGCTGGGTTGAAAAGGGACCACTACTGAATACTGTACTGTCAAATTAATGATCAGTCGTAGAAATGAACTGCCTGAGAGAGAAAAGTGCTAGACCCACCAGGACTCGAACCCACGGGACATTGCTTGTCATGAGGAATGCTCTGTAACTGTAAGTCTAACCATCTAGACTGGAGCACCAGGCCCAACCCAGAATGCTGCCTTGGCTGAGTGACTGATTCTTTGAATTCGAAATCCTTCAAAACTTCAGACTAGTATGTACAGTACTTATTGTAGGTACGGAGCCAGAGGTAACACAATGACTATGTACATGTACATGTAGGTCAGGAGCACTACAAAAGAACGTTACTGTAAATTCACAAATTTTTCCGTGTACATGTACTTTTATTTTCGGTACTTTCGGTGCACCTGCTTCATGCCTACAATTTACAGTGTACGTACAAGTACAGTCATGTACATGGTGGAATGCGCTGCCTCCATCTTGTCGCCTGGCCGAGTCGCCTGCTTTGTTTCGCGCTCACACAAAGTCTCATTTAGGGTTCCCAGTAAAAAGGCAACATTTGCCTGTTGGGAAATCCCTAACAAAATAAGAAAAAAATAAATAATAACATGTACATGTACATGTAAATTTCAATGACCCGAACCAATACGAAAACACAGAATCCTACACTGCAATAGGGAACTGCTTCTCTGTACCTACATGTACAAGTAATATTTCTGTTCACCTAACCGATATTGCGATAACCGGGCCGTTTGCCCTCATACCGAAATAAATATTGAGCACCTAAAATTAATTTCTGAAATAAGAGTACATGTACATGACTGTTTCTCCTCGAGCCTCCTCTCCTGATTATGCTCGTTCGCCCAGGTTTGCCTTGGTTGAGCATCCTATCCGGTTACTCTCAAAGTAATTAGTTGATTTGTTGTTTTTAAACTTCATTCCGATCGGATCGGCCAGTGACTCTGAGCTCCGCCGAGGAGATCTAAACAAGATCGGAACAGCAAGCTGTCTAGACATGTGTCATGTACTAAGGGTCCTAAATCAAATTTCTCTACTGGCAAACAATTAGTAGCCTGGCGGGTAATGCTCGGAAAAGTAGCGTTTTCTGCTCGTATTCTGCCCCAGTCTGCTCGTATTCTGCCCCAGTCTGCTCGTATTCTGCCGGATTCTTACGTGCTTGTGACCACAATGGAGCCGTAAATAGGCGCCAGCAGCCCTCTCCGCACTTCGTAGTGGTTCTGCAGAGTATCTGCTCCTTCTTCTGCATTTTTCTGCCGAATTCTGCTCGAAATTCTGCCGGCATTATCATGATTATCCGCCAGGGCCTAACGCTGCCCAAGACGCCCACAGCTCTGGAAAAATCGGTCTCCGGACAGCTAACTGATTATCATAGGGGGCGCAAACCTCAACGTGAAAGCCCCTTCACAACTCCCAGCTACTAGTTTCATGGTTATCCTGGCACTTGACCGTTCACCAAGTCCGCGCTGGATGATGTATACTGCAGTACTGGAACTGGCACCTCCGTCGGCTCCGAACCAGGGAGTCGACCAGGTCGACTCCCTGCTCCGAACTAACGGAGTCTGTCCATCTACCCCACTGTATCCACTACACTATCCTACACCGCTAGTCGATCGGCATCGATCTGCCACTACTGTGACGTGTGAGTACTAGTACTAGTAGTAGTAGTAGTACTGTCACTAGTACTAGTAGCAGTACAGCGCGCTAGCGTGTCATCATCCGCTGGGCTGTGCGTGCACTGCGTGGCCGTGGGGCTACACACAGATCAGTACACTTGGAGGCTCGCGACGCGAGTGTCACAGCCCCAGCATGTGATCTGCCAGCTCCGAGTACTACAGTACTATCAGTAGCTTGATAAAGCCGTGTTTCTGCACTCGCGATTTCACATTTCGTTGTCGAGTGCCGTTGGCGGTGATGGATCAGAGAATCCAAGAAAGCAATAATTAGTTGCTGTACTAGTTGGCAAAGTCGGGGATCGCGAGGATTTGCAGCTGTAGACATTGTTGGTGCTTAGGACAGTAAAACGCTGATCTCAGGGCGCAGGTCTCTTGCCGACTTACCCAATATTGGCTGACTGGCATTCGCTGAACCTCCGTCGTGTGTGTTCCCGTATCGGCCGTGTACTTCACCATTGGACGTGACGACGCTGTTTTTGGCCTGGTTTACGTCGAGTAGATTCTCCTAGCTCTGCACGCTGATCTCTGTCTCTGCTGTGCAACCTTCTTGGACAGGGCTGTAGTGGAGGAGTACTGCCGTGTGATCCTGCCTGAGACGTTCCGTCTATCCTGCTCCTGCATACTGAGCAGTCTGCTGAACTGCACTGCACTGCCACTAGTCTAGAGCAGTGTGGCCTGTTGCTTGCTCTCAGGTGACTGACGGTGCACTGCCGTACTGAGTAGTAGTACTTCTACTAGCAGTGACCGAGATCATGTCCTCGCGACGAAAGAGCTCCTGCACTACTCCTGACGGCGAGGAGGCGAAAGCAGCCGTGGCCAAAGAGCAGCCCGACGGTGCCTCCTCAGCTGGCGAGGAAGAGTCGGATGAGTCGGATGAGGACTACGATTTTCTGTACAGTCTGAGTATTGAGTTGACTCACGCGTACCGAATACTGCAATGTTTGACCGTAGACAACACAGCGTGGCCTTTCCTCCATCCAGTCGACGTGGAGGGCATGGGCCTTGCTGGCTACCATGAGGTCGTGGAGCGGCCGATCTGCTTCAAAGAAAGTAAGTACTGCTAGTGCTACGAAGCACTCACTGCGGATATTTGCTTGCCTTTCTCGTCAGGTGCTTTCTGACACTCCGTGCTTGTGTGTACGTGTGTGCGTGTGTGTGTATGGTCGTGCCTACCGAGTCTGCATCGCCCGTCCACGCTCCGGGTTGTGTGGCTTTCTCTCCTTCTGTTTGTTGTTCACGCGTTGTTGCCTTGTTCTGCGTGTGTTATGAGAGATACACGGCGAGTCCGTAGCAGGAATTCCACCCGCAGTCTCCTCACCAGTTTTTTTCTTGTAGTTCATCGTCCTAGCAGCTGCAGCATTTGGTACTTGTGCGGGAATGTTCTTATGCTTGCCCTCTACTGGTGGACCATGGCGATGTTGAATTGCGTCTTGGACTGTGCGACAGAACTTACTTCAAAAAGTCCATCGTAACGCACAACTAATAATAATGACGTGGCGTTTGCTGATTTGGACCCTACACTGCATGATTGCCCCCCTCGCCCTGCTACGTGTGGCTGCGTTGTAGGACAGTTTAGTATCTCCTCCTCCGGTTCTCGGTGGGAGCAGCACTGCTGTTTCTCGCTGTCCTGTGCTCGGTCTGCGCCGAGTGGCTACCTTGCAAGTGCAGTGGCGATTGTTGTCGCGTATTTATTGTGGTGACGTGAGTAACTGAGTTGCTTGTGGCTAGTCCTCCACGCGTTTCGTATCCTGAGTCCTGACTAAACGTGTCCATCAGTTCGCCTCTACTTGTGGTAGATCTACGAATCGATGACTCTGTAAATCGGTACAATCATTTTACCAACTTTTAGATGTGGATATTCTTGTACTACCATATTTTGTATTTATAGCCTATAGGATTACCCAGAGGGCCAGAGGCTCGAGGCTTGTCGATCGAGGGGATCACCTATTCTTGCCGTCTAGTGTAGTTTGGTGCAGTCGCTCGTGGCATTGAGGTTGTACCTGACCGTGGTTCTCCCAATCCTTCCGTAGCTTTGCTACGCTTTATCTCACTCTGTGTCTGCGGAGATTGTGAGCGTCTCAAATAAACCTGCAGTCGTCAGTATCACTATCAGTTGTGATGTAGATAGGACTGTACGAGTAGTAGCCGGATACTCTTTTTCTTGGCGTTGAGCAAGAGGTGGTTTCCCGCAGTGCGATACATGAAATGCCCGTGGATTGCAACCAGGTGGAAATTGGCTTTGCCGTGACGCTGGCTTCTGCGTGGCTGCATGTTGTTGCAGGGAAAACTGTACAATCATAGTCGTTGTATTTTGGACAGGAGATCTGCATTGGGAGCCGTCGCGCGCACTACATGTGAAGGCTTTGAGGCTGGCCGAGTATCACCGGCCACTAAAACATCGCATCTCTCCTTGCTTTCATCAGTTCTGGTCTGTCGTCTCCGCGACCACCGGTTGCACGACCGTGCCTGGTGTGCGGCCAATCGATGGAGAAGTAACACTGAGTTTCCGCCCGTGGCGCATTGAGGGACGTGTGTCGTACACTGCACTACACTACTCTGTTCCTGATTTTACTCTACATACAGTCTATATTTTATCCACGGACACTGCGATTTGCTCTCTTCTGGGTCGGCGTTTACACCACGCTTTTCATTTCTTATTGACGCCGCGTTTTGCTGAGCAGTTCCTGTTCAGAACTTCTGGTTTTCTGCGCGGAATGTATTTCTTTCCTCTCTGCTGCGAATGTTGTAGTGTAGGTGGTTTTGGCCTACACTACATGTAACCCGGGTGCGCTTGCAGTGTCTACAGGACCTTGTCCTTGTTTGAGCCATCGAGCAGCAGGCATCTAGCTAACAACCTTCACTTCTAACGGGATTGTGTTGCTTTGAGCTTCGACTTTGACTAGACTCGGAGTCAGAGTGTTGGACTATCGTTACATGTTGGAGTGGTGTACAGTCATGTACCTAAAATCACCTTGCAGGTAGTGAGCAAATCCGACTGTGAGCTCTTTTCGAAATACTTAGTACAATGCACTTATGCTCTCGAAGTTTGCCTGGAGTTCAGTGTTGGGTGGCACGACTGCCGTCACAGACTCCACTTTACGCTTGCTCGTCTGTACTGTAGGTCGTGCCCGAGTCAGCCTTCTCACGATTAGAATTTTAGAGCGTGAATGGGTGCTGACAGTGCATTGTAGATGGTTGTCGCCTCGCGCAGTCTTGAAGTTTTACCGGCTGCGTTTGTAGTTTGTAGTCCTGCATCGCCGAGGCGAGAACGAGATCGAGAGCACAGTCAGTCACACTTTTCCAGCATTTTATCACAGATGTGTCAAGCGGCAGTGCACTTTTCGCTGTGGTTCGGGACCAGGTGTGAACTTTCAGACCAGCTTGGAAATACTCCTTGCGCTGGTCGAGCTGGAGAGTAGAAGCGAACAAAGAAGGAGAAATCCGTGTAGGATGTATGCACGATTTTGAGAGTGGTTGGAGTCTGCTTGATATCTAGATCGTAACCCAGCGCGAAGTAGCCCCCCCCCCCCCGCCCCCGTAAGTAAGTAAGTTGCGCTTTGTAATTGTACATTCTCGGCGTGAGCTGTGAGGACGTCCGCTTTTGTCAGTTGTTTTGGTGTTTCGCGCAGGTCCTATTTGGCATGGTGCTCGTAATGGATAGCAAAGCCAGTAAAATGTTCTGTACTTAGCCTAGGTACGCATGGTACATGTACCACAACTAACTGATTGAACCCGTTTTGGGGGAAGATCTTCGACTTCGGGTGACGTAGCGTAGGGCTGTAGTGTAGAAAAATGCAGCACACGTTCTCTTGATCTTGAACTTGAAGTTGAAGAATTCTTCGCTGACGCGTATCGCTGCTTCCTCCTTCAGTCAGTCACTTCAACGAGCTTTCTCGCGGCTTGGGTGCTGGATTTGTGCTATTTTTTATTGTGCAGCCAAACTGATGCTACAAAAGAAATTCGACGCTCTGGCTGGGACCACTCTCCCGTGACCTCCTTTATCTTCTTGTAACACATCCCACTAGCGGTAATAGTAGGTCGTACTTTTCTTCCAGTTGTAAGACCAGTTTGGACCCGTCGTCCGCTGCAGCTCACTGCTCAGCTGAGAGCATGGTCGAGTCTGACAGCTTCACTTCACCGCGATGCACTGCGTGCAGGTCTTGATCGCGTGCGCATCTGACACTCAGCTTGCAAGCTTGGCAGCAGAGCTCGAGTGTGTCACTAGCACTGTGTGTGCGTGCGGTTTGCTGGCTTGTCAGCCTTCGAGCTGGTTCACGCCTGTTTCAGCTCTAGCCTCTACCTCTACTACTGAGCTCTACTCTACCTCTTCACTTGTGTGAAGTAGTTGTGAGTTTTGCTTGTCTGATCAGCTGAGCGCGATGGAATAAAAAAAAGAAAAAGTGAAGTAACAGTTAGTTCGTGCATCTGCGTTACCACCGGCTTATTGTGTTGAGAAACGCAACCAGCTGCTTAGACTAGCTAGAGAAGTATTAGTTAGTTTCGCTGGTGCCAGGCCGCCACCATGCCTGATTACAAAAATACTAGTATCAGGGATGGAGTCAGACTGGTAATCCGTGTTATGCCTATCCTTTTAGACCTTGCGTGCGTTCGCCTGCGAAGATTATTCCGAATAATTGATCCGGATTCTCGACGCGCGTGTGTGGAGTGACCACGAAGATCAGCGAGTGAAACTAAAATTAATAAAAATTATTGTGTCCAGTTCGATCGAGATGGCCCTTCCAATCCAGGCTTATCTGCTGGCACTGCGCTCGACTGCTGTACTGGTATGCTGCGGAGGTGGCTTTTCACGCCTCGTTGAGCAAGCAGGAGTACGAGTGGCCTCTACTACTAGTACTGGTAGTACTCCAAGTCAAAGTACATGTAACATCTAGTACTAGTACTAGTAGATATCTACAAATGACTTAGTAAATAATTTAAATCAGATTCTTTCTCTTTACTGTCGACATGTCGAGTGTCGGTCTTCACTTTGAGTTTGAATGAAGCCAGCTACTGAGCTAGCTCCAGTGCCAACAACCCGCTTTTGGACTGAGTTCACTGTCTACAATGTCACGTTTTGTAATGATTGCAATTAGGCCATTTTAGGGCCTTTTTGTCCATATTCCTTCTGCATTACCCGACCTAGTACCTGACACTCACTTCAAGCGAAACCGATTGCTGGTTTCTTTTGATGGTTTTTCAGCTGATAAACCTGTCTCTCCTCCCCCGTGTACGCGTGTGCCATTGCAGTCGAAAACAAGTTCCGCACGGGCAAGTATGAGAGTCTGACGGAGTTCGTGGCGGACGTTCGCCTGCTGCTGTACAACTGCTATCGCTTCAACGGTGCGCAGCACAGTATCTCAAAGATGGCACAGCGCATTGAGCATATGCTGGAGCAGAAGATCGCCTTGCTGCCCAAGTAAGTGATAGTGATTTCTGTTCATGCAGTGCAGATGTTGTGGAGTATTGTTGATCAAAAGAAGTAAGTTAGTTGATGTGCGCGAGTAGAATCGAGCGTTCTACTGCTTAGTTCCTCTGTCGCTTTTACTGTTTTAGACCTACGTAGTACGTGTCAGAGAGACGAATGTTGTACTAGCTCTCCGTTGTTCATCCCAAATCTCGCGCAATAATCAGCATTGGAAATAATTCAAGAACTGTGTTGTCGCGAAGTCGGTACGATTACGAACCTCTTCTTTGGGAATCAGTCCTCTGTCGTTTGTACGTGTTTGACTTCGAGATCCAGAGACGAGTGAAATTTCATTTGAGTTACGCCGACTGTATGCGCGGTGAGTGAGTTGAGTTTGTGTTTGTTGCCGGTCCTTGACGCGAAACTCGAACTAGCGCTATGTACTATTTTGTGGCGTACACGGGTCTTGTCTACGCTGCTCCTCCGTGTCTGGCCTGAGAATGGGAGGAATGTGTGCAGGCGCGCGTGCCACAACCATCCGCTTTGTAGCTTTGATTATGCGATAGTTCAGCGATTTTGCTTGTATGATGAGTGGAGTTGTATTGTGGCTTGAGTTGAGGTTAGTCAGTGAAGTCGCAGCCCTGTCATCTGTGCAGTAGTGCATGGTTCCTCACACTCACTGAAGTCCAGCCCGAACGAGCCTGACGATGATTATGTTGTCTGTTGGGTGTTTGTAGTTGTACACCTAGCTCTTGTGTGTTGTCAATGCAATGCTGATTACAGTTGGCTGTGACTGATTGCTGATCAGTTTCTGTATTCTGGCATTTGATCAGCTGTCAGGCTTGTCAGCTCAGTATTCACTGTTAGGGTAGGGTAACTAGGGTCCCCACTCCCTATTCACTGTATTCAGGCTAGTTCAAAGTAAGGTTAGTTAGTTGTCACTGAGTGTGTGCACTGGTGTTGTCTGCTGGGCCCTGGACTCAGTCCTAGCCTGGAGCATGTGGTGCTGACTGCTGAGGAACAGTTTGAGGAACAGTTTGAAGTGCAGGCACATGTACAGCCTGACTCAGTATGTTATCAGTAGGAGGTTAGATAGTGCAGCTTTCCATTCAGCTTGGCGCGGGACACAGACACTGTAAAATCCACCATTGTCAATCAATGAAGCTTCAGAGCTTCCAAGCTTCAGAGCTTCCAAGGGATAAAAACCGGTACCTATTAGGTGAGGTATTTTATCCAAGGGGTGTGGAAGTCAGGGGAGGGAATACTGTGTGTCAAATCATTGAAAACGGATACTGGGGGTCCTCAGAAAAGTGCTTTATATCCAATGCGAAGAGGAGAACTCAAAAGTAGCGACTTCCGCAGGTATCAGTGCATGAAGTTGGTTGCATGGATGTAGCCAATAGGCCACTGTAGGAGCTGAATCTGGGCATTGTTCCTTGACGGTGGTGGCCTTCCTGCGCGGATGGCAAACCGAACCAGGATGGGGATGGTTTTTTAGTTGCTCCTAAGTGGAGCACATGCTTCCTGCCATGACTTGACACTTGACTGACTTACTGGCTGCAATCCAGCACATGCAGAGCCGGCGATAACAGAAGAGTAGAACTTTTATGTCCCAGGTACTGCAATTCTACGAACTTTCGGTGTACTTTTATTTTCGGTACTTTTCTCCGTGCATCTCTTTCATACCTAAAATGTCAATAGCTGCACAAACACTGACACGAATCATCCAATAGGGACCTAACCCTTTGCCTTCTCTGTACTTAAACTGTCTGTTCACCTAACCCTTTGCCTTCTCTGTACTTAAAATGTCTGTTCGCCTAACCCGTTGCCCTTGGTCCTTTGCACTTGGTCCTTTGCACTCATACCCAAGATTTTGACTTTTTGAGCACCTACTTGAAGAGGTCTGAAATTAGAGTACTCTGCAGTCTGCACTGAATTTCACTGTACGTTGCATGATGACACTCTTTGCTCTGGGAAACAGGAGGTCTCCAACACCTCTTGTCCCTACCCTCAGAATTGGCTATGAGCTATCTTCACATTTTCTTACTTTTAAACCCCAACCACCTAAAATCAGATTCCACCCAAACTAGTATTTCAACCTGGCTGCATCAGCCCCAGCCGGAAGTACATATTAGAGTAGTAGTAGATGAGAGTCCAAGCTATCAAACTGGCACAGTTTGGTATGAACTCACAGCACTGACTTTGAATTGAGATTTCACGGCCAGGACAAACCACTTCTGTAGCTGGAAGAAGGACACAGGTTGTATTCCCTACTCATAGGAAGTGACAGGAATTTCAGATACGTGTAGGTGTAGCTCGGAAAGTTTTTTTTTTGGGGGGGGGGGGGCTGCTGTGAATAGCGTAGTATTCCTTTCATGCAACAATCACATGGTTCATCAGTTGTTAGGTGTTTGTGCAGATGTGCGTGTGTGTGTGTGTGTGTGTGTGTGTGTGTGTGTGTGTGTGTGTGTGTGTGTGTGTGTGTGTGTGTGTGCAGATGTGTGTGTGTGTTTGTGCGCGCGCGCGTGTGTGTGTGTGTGTGTGTGTGTGTGTGTGTGTGTGTGAGAGAGAGAGAGAGAGAGAGAGAGAGAGAGAGAGAGAGAGAGAGAGAGAGAGAGAGAGAGAGAGAGAGAGACATCGATCTTCGCCGCGATCTCTTTGGCCAGGGTACAGAAACTAAAATATAGAAGGAAGAGAGAGAGAGAGTGTGTGTGTGTGTGTGTGTGTGTGTGTGTGTACGTTTGCATGTCTGTGCGTGGCATGTACACACACATGCGTGGTGTAGTAATGAGTATTGCACTATTGGCGCTGGAGAGGCTATTGACATTGACACTGAGAACTACACTCTAACAAGGTGGCCGATTGTGGAGCTGGCATGGGTGCTTAGCCTGCAGCACCATCTGTGCCTCCTTATTCAATTGTGACTAATTAATCATTAGCATTCCCTGTGACTGCAGAGAGTGGAGATGTGGGTGTTTTACTGGGATCCCGATCCTCCATCTTGAATCGCCTAATTGCTCCTTGTGAACGGGCCCTAATTGATTTAGAGCGAGAGGCCTGGTGGACACAGGTTTTTGTTGTTGCTGGTGCTGCAGCCTACACCCTGGGTCCATCTGTGTCTATCTGCGTCTCAGACTCTGTGTGTGGGTGTGGGTGTTTGTAGATTTCTGAGGACTTTGGAAAGACACAGTGTGAACTGTATTTGAAAGTATGGACTTTTTTTTACAATAGGAGGATGTAGGTAGGGAATCACAAATACAAAATTAATGCAGTTGATAAATCTTAGAGAACCTACAGAGTTCAAGGGCAAGAACTTACTTTTATGTGGCCTGACTGAGGGTTTAGAAAAAGCCATAGGAAAGTGAACTGGACCGAGTGCTCACGCTCACGGAGCTGAAGTAGAGCCAGGCCAGTGCCAAGGCAATGGAGAGGCACACATGCATTGTGTTTGCTGTCGCAGAAATCTGAGCGACATTCGATCCTTGAGATGATAAGTAAAGGATCTAGGAAGGACGGCGCGCGCTCAAGAAGAGACAGGTCAGTGCTAGTGGAGAGCCACGCATGCATTGTGTTTGGTGTCACTCAGAGAAATGCATGCGGACGTGGAAGTGGTGATGAGAAACAAAGGGCAGCACCGCTGCTCCAGGCTCCAGAAGGAGAAGGGAGACAGGTCAGTGGCAGTCACGGGAGAGTGACACAATGTACTCTGCTCAGTGTCAATGCCTGGGCAATGTTTGCGACTTGCGGAGGGGGGGGGGGGGGGGGGAATATGGACTAAGGGGCTGTGGCTCCACGGGCATGTAGCCAGGGCGTACCAGATGGCGGCGTTGCGGAAGAGAAACGAATTCTTAGCGTGTTTTCTCACTCTAGGGAGAGTTTAGGCAAGCTCATCGGATGATGGTGAATCCCCCCCCCCGCGGAAACACTGTGTATTGAGCAGGGAGTGGTGCTTTTCTGTTGTGGAGTCGAGGGTTTGATGGATTTTTGTGTGCTCTGGATCATGGATGGCAGCAATGAGTTAGCCTTGTGTCGAATCGATTCGACGAGGAGCAGACTTACTCACTAGCGGTCCTAAGGTAATGGACTCGCTCTTCGCCATTGTTAGTTGTGCATGTGTGTGTGTGTGTGTGTGTCCAGTGTAGTGTGGCTCCGTGTTGTTACGCGAACACAAGACACGAGCCGTTACCTGCTGTGTGCAGATCATGTAACTGCAGTATTGTACCAGAGCACGACACGATCAACCACCAGGCGCACCGGGGGTCCGCATCCTGTCCAATGCCCGTTCCACGATTGTTCATGTCCACCGCCGTGTGCTGCTGCTGGTGGTGGTGGTGGTGGTGAGCTCATGAGTGAGAGAGAATGCCGTGAAGTAACAGGTTGTGGCTGATTCGCTGATGGCTCCGTTCCGGCGTGCGCCCGCAGCTCAACGTGGAAATACTCAGTTTGTACCGGCCTTGACAGGTGTTTGTGGATGACTCGCATCGTAGCAGTGCCGTGTGTGGGCACTCTGCAATCATGTCGATCCAACCTGGACTATCATGTTTTGAAGTGTGCACAGAAGATGTGGCAGGGCTGCCTTGAGCAGTCTCAGCAGTTTTCACAAGGACTTTCCCAAGACACCATTGCATTCTTGAAGTGTGTACGGAAGACGTGGCAGGGTGACCTGAAGCAATCCAGGCGGCCTTCGCACGGACTTTCCCAAGGCCTTTTCCGCATAGGCGGTGGGCACGGACTTTCCCAAGGCCTTCTCCGCATAGGCGGTGGTTCATGGTTAGAGCTTTGAGTGTGCTCAGAGTGATGAGGGATGCGGAATTGCTTGACACCGCTCCCGTAAGTGTGGGTTTGGCAGAGCTGCGTGTCAGGAGAGTCCCCTTTGGAGAGACAGACACAGCATATATCCCGTGAAGGTACTTCACGAAAAATCCGCTCCACGCACATTTCGAATCCCCCCCCCCCCCCTCATGGTTTTTCGTCAAGTCCAGTGTACTTGGAGTAGAAAGGTATCATTCTGTATAGTAATTATAGGCTCTGAGAAAGCAGGGTAAGACGGAGAAGGGGGGGGGGGGGGGGAGAGACTAAATGAAACCACTTCCCACTCCAGGCCCACTCTGCTCTACTCTGCACTGGCTGTACTTCCCCTCACATGTGTTACCAAGACTTTGACAAAACACTGCTGTGTGGCTAGCATGTTGACAGGAAAGTGCTAAGTAAGTAGTTCACTACAGCTGCCGTTTGCACGCCTGCTTGACTGTAGCATCGGCATCAGGCCCATGGTGATAACGTATATCTGTGATTGGTACGGTCCTGCCTGCCTGCAATGCTGCTTATCAATGCTGCTTATCAGTGCAACTATAGCATCATAATTACACTGTCAGCACAAAAAAATAACGGGTAGCATGAGACTCTGCTGGGCTGAGTTCTCCACATTCGTAGGAACGCCACCTACCCCAAGGATCAAAGCGCAAATCCAGCTCCTAAAGTGGTGGGAGGTGAGTAGACCAGCCCCACCAACGAAGTGGTTAAAGCTCTGCAAGGCGGCGAACAGGTCCCAGTTTTAATTCGTCAGGAGCTGTGACTCAGTATGGAGAAAGACAGGTGGGCCTGCACTACGCAGGAGTTGTAACCCCCGAGCACACAAAGTGTGAGAGCGCTTCCAAGCAGAACTTGAACCTGGTACCCTCTGTTCCTCAATCAAGGTCTTAGACCATCCCACTGTGCCTGCCAGCCAGGGGGGGATGCAACATGTGCTAATGTGGGGTTGGTTGGATTGCACAGATGTAATTTTGTTGATGCCGTATGCCAGAGCAGAGGTTTGCCATGATGGAACTGTGCATTCCCAACCCCGGGCTGGCTCGACTGGGTGTGCAGTGCGAAAAGTCCCATTGGACTCTCACACAGAGTGATTGTGTGTGTGTGTGTGTGTGTGTGTGTGTGTGTGTGTGTGTGTGCCTGCCTTGAAATTAGTTGAATTTGTTGTGACTGTTACTTCAAAATGTGTAGTACTGTACTGTACTGGAGTAAGAGCAACAGCCTTGATTGGGAGTAGTGATTTCTAAAGTACATTTGCCACTATTAACCTGTGTACTTGGTGTGTAAATTCTGGTAGCATGGCCTGCTCAGTGAGTAATTAAGAGTAATTAAGAAGATAATGGCATGTGTGTGTGTGTGTGTGCCGGGGTTGAAGATTACTACTGACACAAGCCACTTAGCTGGGGTTGGGTTGTTTGCGGGGCACCTCTCCAAAAGAGTTCTGGTGTTGGCATGGGGGACTTTCCGCATGTAGAGAGACACCCTGGACTGGAGTACCTCCCGTCACGCTTGGAGCAAGGCCGTTTTCTGTACTAACTATTAGTGTCTTGTACAACAGCCTGTCTCGCGTAGAAGCCTGGTTTGAACATGAGCCTGATTTGCAAGCTGCACCGGCATCAGATAACTAGCCTGGTTTTAGTGTCGACTTACATAAAACAAATACCTGGTTCGAATAGAAGCCCGATGTGGATAGAAGCCTAGCCCTGACATTGGTCTTTTACGGGAATGAGCCCTGCTTTTATGCACGACATTACCGTTCATGATTGTACGCTGTGGCTGTGTGCTACGCTGTGCACGTGCGAGTTCTGAATTTTCGATATTTTTTGTCGGCAGCAACCCGCTGTGGAAAAACATACCGACGACGAAACCCCGGTAGAAGTAGGGCTGTCAGCACCGTGTCTATAAACGAGCCAAGTTCAGATGACGTGCTCCCTCGTTGCTTGGACATTTGCAGGACCGGCGGTGGAAGCAGTTTTTGATTGGTCCGGGCATACCCTAGTCTTTCATACAGTTTGTGTATGATATGTGGAGGGTACTGTAATTTCGAAAATTTTCTGTGTACTTTTATTTTCGTTACTTTTGGTGCATCTGCTGCATATCTAAAATTTCAAAACACCGAACAAACACTAACACACATACGCCAATAGGGAACTGCTTCTCCGTACCTAAATCTTCTGTTCACCTAAAGTCCATTCAGAAAAAGATGAGCGCTGGCCTTGGAGAGCTCCCGTGTTTGGTGATTTTGCCAGTGCCGCGAGATTCGAAACTTGAAAAAGGGGCCGAAAAAGGTACCTCAACTGGGGTTTGAACCGCAAATGTACTGTTCTGCAAGTGGAGCGCACGGGTTGGATTTTCATGGCCTTTCCCCAGTGCTTTGGGGGCAAAACCTGGCCGAAATCCTATTCTTGTTATGGCTTGCTTTTTGGAGAAATCGACTTCAAAAACACAATTGGAAGGGCATTCCATGGGGGATTGGCAAGAAAATTGTGACAAAAACTCAAAATTTGACCCATTTATGGCCAAAAGCTAGGATATAATCTTTTTCTGAATGGACTGTAACCTGGCTTTTTGCCCCGATACCGAAAATATTGAGCACCAAAAATTATTGAAAACAGAGTACACAATATACACGTGACCTCCTCAGCAGTAAACGCACGCTGCTAGCCGAAATGTTTGTCCGGCCATGGCGTGACCAAGCGGACCGGTTCTGTCGGGCCTGCATTGTACTGGTAATCATGTGTGACGATCTGCTCTGTGTTCTGCAGACAATATCGAGACAAAGCGTCCCTGCTCAACACTCTGATGTACATCGACCCGGAGCGATACGAGGAAAAGAAGAAAAGCGCCGAATCGGCCGCCGTGATGGAGGCAGCAGGTGAGGCGTGTGTGTGTGGTGTGCGTGTGCGCGCACGTGTGTGTGTGTGTGTCCCATATGGTGCAGTGGTATGTGTAGGCAATTTCCAATCGAGAGGTTGCGGGTTCAATTCCCGACGATTATGGTCGCACATGTCTCTGTTTGTCTTTCACATTCTCCTAGCTCTTCTTTCATTCTCCTGGGTGGCTACCAACAGCCAGTGCATGCCAGAGTGTGTGGTGTGGTGTGTGCGTCGAAAAGAATAGAAAAAATTGAAAATTAAAAATTTCGAATTAGAAACAGGGATAGGGATGTGTAGGTGAAAGTAAGTAAGTGTTTTTGTGTGTCTGTGTGTACGTGTGTTTTCCTTCTCACGTACATCCAGGAAAGCGAGTCCGTCAGTCGCGCACGTCCAACTTGGTCACTCCGCCATCGCACTCTCAGCTGCTGCAGCTGCTGAAAGAGTCCAACAGTCTTCAAAAGCACCACGGCCAGCACCACCACTACCCGCAAGCGCCAGTTGCGGGCACCAAGACCAGAAAGCACGAGCAGAAATCTCGCTCCACCGCCGCCTCCACTACTGCTGCTGCGGCCGCTGGCCCCGATTCAGGATATGCATCGGTGAAACAGGCGGGCGGCGCTGAATCGTGTGCAACAGTGCCCGCTGCCGCTTCGTCGTTGTCGTCATCCGCGCCTAGCGCATCGCGGACTGCTCAAACAGCTACGAGCGCTAGCAGTAGTCACAGCAGTAGCGTAGCCCACAGTAAGACCTCTGCTACGACGCCGGGCACAACCGAGCCTCAGCAATCCACCCCCGACAAGAAGACATCGTCGTTGTCCGGTGCCTCGTCTTCAGCAACAACGACTAAAAAGGAGGTGTATGGTAGCAAGAAGCGGAGCAAGCTGGCGACGGCAGACAAGGAGGAGAAGAAGACGATCGGTGCCACCGGAGGCACTGCACGCCGCACGTCTAGCGACGACGCCAAACCCAAGGAGGCAGCGGCGGCGGAAAAGAAATCGACCGCGGCGACGGCGGGAGGCAGTAAAAAGACCGGCGCGGCGAAGTCGACGGCGGCAACGACGAAAAAGCCGTCGACCGCAGCAAGCACGCCGAGTAGCAGCAGTATAGCAAAGTCAAACGAGACGACAACAGTAACAACCTCGGTAACCACGGCATCAACTGTAGCTAAATCGACGTCAAAGTCCTCAACTAGTTCCCAGAGCCAGAGTGTTGCCACGAGCGTGTGCAGCGCCAGTGAGAGTCGTACTGTGACAAGCAAGTCAATATTCACAGCTGCAACCTCTATATCGACAGCATCTCCAGCGGTAACAGCAGCAGCAATGACTGCAGCACCGGCCGTTCGCCGCGAGAAATCCGAACGCCTGGTGCAGTGGATTTCGCGTGAAGTGGAGCCACAGCTGGTGGTTCTAGAGGGCGTATGTAAGGTATGTATCACATGGGGAGCGCTGCTGCTGCTGTTGGTGTTGCCATTGCTGCTGCTGCTGCTTATGCTGCTGCTGCTGCTGCTGCTGCTGCTGCTGCTGCTGCTTATGCTGCTGCTGCCGCTGCTTATGATGCTGCTGCTGCAGGCGGCATGAAGTAGATGAAGACTTGTGCCAGATAGCTGCCTATTGGAGTTTACGGGGGGAGCCAAGTTGGTCGATCACATATGCACGCCTTGTGGAGTATGGCAAACACGCACGCGCATGCACATGCACCTACCCACACACGCACGCGCGCACACACACACACACACACACACACACACACACACACACACACACACACACTTACAGAGGGTGCGTACATGTGCAAACACACTCTGACTGACTCTCTCTCTCTCTCTCTCCCTCTCTCTCTTTTTCTCTCTCTCTCTCTCTCTCTCTCTCTCTCTCTCTCTCTCTCTCTCTCTTCCTTTTTCTCTCCTACACAGGTGTCTCTGATATCACTCTTCTTGCATAAGTACGGAGAAGTTCTCCAGTTGCCGAACATGAGCCTGTGTGACCTGGAGATTGGTCTGATCTTTCCGCAACAGTCGACACTGATGTCACGTCTTATGACCGCTCTGCTAGTTCACCCTCAGATCCGAGAACGGTGAGTGAACGATTGATCTAGGGGCACCCGCTGAATGTACAATGGCAAGACCTTAGAGCCAGGTGACGCCCGGAAGTGTCGTCATTTTTTTAGCTAAGGGATGTCCGGAAATGTGGTGACGGTTTATGCGGCTGCTCAGGGAACTCTCGACATGTGGTGACCTGAAGCAGTTTGTGATTTGGTGTGGACCGATTCCGCCGTCCCTGGTCTGTGTGTGTGTGTGTGTGTGTCTGTGTGCGTGTGCACGTGTGCTGTGTACATCAATACAAATCCTGCTGTCCATTCTCTCTTGCCTGTGTGTCTGTGTGCAGTGTGCTGCGGTCTCGGCAGCCAATGACCTATCGCCTGTGGAACGTCTGCGTCATCCGTCTGCTCCACTGCTGGAGAACGGTGGTGGAGCAGTACGGAGAGAGCAAGGTAAAGTGCTGGTGATGTTTCTGCTGCTGCCTGTTTCAAATCTTTATTCTCACGATGGCCTGCGGCCAATAAGAGATAGTTTTTTCTTTTTTTCTCTTTTTTTTACAAGAAACCACGAACCTCGAGAACAGAATACTGCATGATAGAGGTGGTTGCAGACGCAACTGTGGTGGTGAAACTGGAGCATCTCCGCCGACCTGAGGTCTCGGCTTCAGCGACGCTCAGTATAGCGAGATTTGCATCACATGGATGGTTTGGAATGCGTGATTGGCAAAGTTTCATGTTTTAAGCATTGGGCGGCAAACTAGGTGTACAGATGAGCGTGGCGCGTGCATCAGCAGATTGAGATTAGCAACGGGGACGAGTTATTTTGCCTTAGCAGAACTTGTGTTTGAATATCGCATTGTCGCGGTCGTTGTGTCTGTGCGCCGCGTGCAGAAGTAGAGTGCCGTGTCATCTTCAGGGCATGTGAATGCATTTCGTGTAGAAAGTGAATCACGGCATGTGGACAGTGGAACCAACTTGGCTGGATGCAAACCAACGGCTAAGGGTCTGTTTCTGTTTTTTTTTCTTCCTGTTGGCTGCTGTTTGCGTGTGCAGGCACGGCATTTGTTTCGAGTATCCTCGGCCGCACTCGCACTTGCAAGTACGTGTGTGTCTATGAAGTATATTGTTTGTCTGTATTTGGTTGCGAGTCCGTGGTTTTATGCATGCACGCGTGTACCGCTGTGACGTGCATTTAAAAAGCGCATGTGCCTATATCCGGGCATGCGCGCACCCTCACATACAAACACATAATGGCTTGTAAGTGAACCCCATCCTGCAACACACTGACGCCACCAAGATACTATCTTGACAGGATTTGGTGTGCAATTTCCAAACTCCATGCTTGTAACTCAAGTACAAGCGCATGCGCCTATATGTGAGACCAATTGATCTTCAAAAAATTCAAATATGCCAAAACTCGCGTATAAGCGCATGGGCTTAAATGTGGGTCACATGAATGCATCTTATCGTTTCTCACCGTTGATTTTCTGTACTTCTTCCCTGTTGTTGTTGATCTGTCTCTGCAGATAGTGCACTGACTAACGACTTTCACCACTCCAATCTGAGCCGGCGTGCCGACATACTCCATGCCCTGTGTGATTACGCACTGGTACGTGACATTGAATGTGTATCTGTGTGTTCGTGTGTGCGTGTGTGTGCGCGCGCGTGTGTGCGTGTGTGTGTGAAGTACAATATTCCCTGTGTGGCACTGTGTTTGACAGTACGTGTTCATCCCCCCTGGACAAACGTATCTAAACCCACCGTTCGCCGTGTTTTGTGTGTGTGTGCGTACGTCTGTCTGTCTGTGTGCCTATGGGCGTCTCTAACGTTCTGCTGCTCCTGTACACTTGACGTTGGCAATGATGTCACCACTCCCAGAGTTGTCAGCTTCAGTTTGATGGAGAGAGGGTCAACAAATACCAGAGAGAATCCGGGGAACCGGAGATCCTGGGCCTGGACAAACGCAACCGGATCATCTTCCACCTGCCGTCTATCACGCAGCAGGACATACGTCTTTATCGACAGAAAGCCGAGGTGAGAGCAAGCGAACGAGGGTGTGGAGTTGAGTTGTGTGCGTGTGTGTGTGTGTCCATGTGTGTGTGTCCATGCGTGTGTATAAGGCTTGCGCTGGTATTGACTTTGTCAGTCGTGCAACTGCTCAGGCTATGGTGTTGACCGTACCATTCTTTGTCCCATGTGCCCCTTGCATCAGTAAAATCCACAGATCTGGATTCTGATTGCATTTTGCCACCAGTTTTCCGTTATTAGGGAGGTTTCGCTCTACGTAATTACGTATGAAAATCCGTATGTCGTACGCGCCGGGGAGCGAGGGCAGCTTTCATACGTTAATCTCTCTACGGATTTCCGTAGGAAAGCTCTTTCCTACGTTGGGTCCTCCGTAGGACTTTTTGAAATATTTTTCGCATTTTCCGCATTTGTCCGTGGCAACGTTCAAGCCGCGCGAAACACAAGGTACACACACCGTACACCACGTTCAAAATAAGATGGAAAACGCGGTTTCGGTTCATGGTGCATGCGGTGGGCGCATGCAGCCAACGTGTCTCCAAAGCAACAACGCATGTTTAGCAGTCGTGGATAAATCACGTAGAGTGAAACCCAGCAGCTCTTATTTTTTACGTATGAAAATTCCGTGCAGTTCCTACGTTATTTTCATACGTAATTCCGTATAGCGAAACCTCCCTATTAGCTAGCACATCTTCGTCATGTTGACTAATGGTGTTTCTTGTGTGTGCAATGTCCACCATTCCCTGTCTTCTCGCAGAGACCGGCCTCGTCGTCTGCATCCTCAGCATCCTCTGAGTCCGACCTTAGCCTGAGCAACCGGGGTGGCAGCAGCAGCGACCGAACAATGGCTGTCAGCCTGGAGCGACCGTTCTCGCTGCTCTGCCGCGGCTTCAAGCTGCTCAGGGCGAACATAGCCGCGGCCGAGCAACGCGCCAGCACCAGCCGTCTCCACGGCAACCTGTGCACGTTTGTGCGCGACTGGTCGGCCGCGGAAGTGCGCATGGAAACGGAGCGCACGGTGTCTATGGAGCGTGGCATGGAGGACGCGGACACCTACGAACGCGAGGCCAAGCTGGACCGGAAGAGGGCGGCCGGCAGTGGAGGTGGCAAAGCGCCCGACCTCTACCACATCGAGCACCGCTCCCTGGCCAGCCCGTCATCAGGCTTGGTGTCCGCCGGCTCTGGCCAGGGCGGCAGGGCCAAGCCGAGCAAGGTGGCGGCAAAGGCGGCCGCTCTCATCGCGTCCAACACCTACGCGGGTCTGGAAACGGCGGCCTGCACCGGCACCGGGTTCATCCTGCACGTCACCACGCACGACTCATCCTCTTCCTCCTCCTCCGGCGCTAGTGCTGCTGGTGGTGGTATGTCTAGTCCATCCGCAGGCGGTACCGGTAGTGGTAGTGCTGGCTCCAGCAGTGGTGCCGCGCATCAGATCTGGGAGCGCGACGAGCGAATGTGGCTGTTCAACTCGGCGAACCCGGCCAGCGAGCGCTCTCTCAACGTCTCGTTTCAGCCGTCGTCTGCGCGCGCGCTCACCTCCACGGCAACGAGTGGCGTGTCAAGCAAGGTGACTGCCACGGCCACCACCGCGGCTGCTGCTGCGGCTGCTGCCGCTGCCCTGTTGCCGGTGATTACGACCGTGTCGCAGCGCAGCACGCCGTGCGTGTCGAGCAAGGCTGCGACCACACCTACGACCGTGACCAGTCCTGTGTCTCCCAGCATGCCTCCTCTGCAGCCGTCCTCCAAGACTTCTTCATCGGGCTCGCGCGGTAAGGCTCGCTCCAGCAGCGTCACGTCGGCTCAATCATCGTCCCTTCCGCCGTCGGTTGTACCGTCCCATATCGGCTCTATCGCCACCGCCTCTACTAGCATGCAAAGCATCTCTAAGTCGAGTTCAGCGGTATATGCCACCGCAGCAGCAGCAGCAGGAGCAACACCCAACGCTCGCCTCTCCTCCAGCGCCAAACCGGCAGCAACACCGCCGTCGTCGTTTCCGGGGGCAACCGCAGCAGCAGCAGCGCCACTGCGACACAAGCGCACATCCGTGGACTCGCGGGAACGGTCCCGGGGGACGGCGCCCGCAAGCTGCGGAGAGCCGCCAGTGCTGCAACCGTCCGCCTGCATCGTCACAGGCGCGTCGTTGAGTACGAGCATGCCCGCGTTTGTGTCGTCAGCTAGCGGCACCACAACAACCGCCGCGACCGCCACCTCTCAGCTGTCCGAGGTACAGTCTCGTCCCAAGTCGGTGCCCGCGGCGGAGGTCCGGCCTGTGAAGCGGGCACCAGTCGGCGGCGATGCGGAGGCAAGCGCTGCAGAGCCCAAGGCCAAGCGCGTCCTGCACCCGTCCGCAGCATCGTCCTCGTCGCACCACGGCAAGGAGAGGCCCGGTCAGGCTGCGGCTGGCGGCGGCGGTGGTCATGCGCCACCGCCACCGCCACTGGTCAAGGAAGTGGACGTCAATCGTCACGGTGCCGCTCCTCCGTCCGCTTACGACTACCACCACCCCCACCAGCACCGCCACTCGTCGTCAGGGTCGTCATCGGCAACGGCAGCGCCACCATTGGGCATGAAGCACGACAAGACGTCGTCGTCTAGCTCCACGCATCATCATGCACCGCCAGGTCACGGTGCTCCCTCGGCCGCTTCAAAGCCTGTTCCCATGGATACCGGTGGTCGCATGACTGGCGACTCAAAGTCGTCGACGTTCTCCGTGGCCGGCATCCTGTCGAGCAAAGCCAAGCCGGAGAAGGATGATATGCATGGAATGGCCGCCTCAGCTGCTGCGCCGCCAACCTCTGCACAACCTCATCCGTCTGCACAGCATGCACAGCTTGCCCAGCACGCACAGCAGGCAGTGCATGTTGCCTATCAACCAGCCTCCGCTCAGTACGCCGCCTACGGTGGCGCTGCGAGCGCGGAGGCACATGGACTCGTGCCCAGGGCGTACGAGGTGCAGCAGGCACGGCATCACCCGGGGCAGCAGCACGTTGTAGCTGCTGCTGCGGGTACGCCCTCGCAGGCGCAAGTTCCGCCGGGCGCCGTGCTGGCCTCCGCGGATCCTTCTGTTGCTGGCGGCACTGCGTCAGCGCATGCACCGCATAGCATGCAGATACTGGTGCACCCGTCTCAGCTAGGGGCGGCCGCAGCTGCCAGCGGCTCGGGGGCGCCTCCCGGCTGCATTCCCGCCGGCCAGCAGTTCTACGTGCAGCAGCAGCTGCCCAGCGGCGAGGTCTACCATATCCCGGTGCAGGCGGCAGCCGCCCCGTCAAGCGCAGATCAACAGGCAGCCATGCAAGCTTACCATCAGACTGCACAAGCAGCAGCCAGTGGTGCCACCGCCGCCGCCCTACAGCAGCATCAGCAGCAGCAGCAGCAGTACGCCATACCCGTATCCATGGGAACGCCTCCGATGCCGCCGCACGCCGGCGTCCAGTACCACCACTACCAGATGGCGTCGGGCCAGACCGCCACGGTTGCTATGGCGCCGCAGCAGTCGTCGCAGCAGCCGCAGCAGTACTACATGCAGGTCCCCGTGCAACAGCAGCATCAGGGTGGTGCTGCAGGTCCACCGGGGACTCCCACCATGCAGCATGCCATGGTACAACAGCAGCCGCAGGCAACGCCGCCGCCGCATCAACACCATGTGTCTCAGCGACGCGCATAGTGCTTCTCTAAGGCGTCAGATACGGACTTGCTTCTGTCAGGTGTCGGATATGGACTTGCTTCTGTAAAATAGATTGTCCTGGTGGAATGACTTGGTCGTTCTGGAGTCGGACTGGATTGTGGAACGATTTGAACTTGTGTTTTGTAAATACTTGCCGCGAGGCGTGGCTGTCTGCAGGCTTGCCTCCCGTGTGTCTATAACGTTACTGTCCATAGCAACAACACGGCTACGGTGTGTGCGTGCATGTGTGTGTGTGTGGGTGTGTGTGTGGGTGTGTGTGTGGGTGTGTGCTTTATTGAAGTGCGCTGTAATATCTTCGTTGCTATCATCCCGCTCGCTGCTGCTGCTACAACTACAGTGTACATGTACATAATGGAACAGACCCACTGGACTGCATCATCGTCGGAAAACGCCAGTGTCTGGTGTCTGGTGCCTGGGTGTGACGTTTAACCGCGACCCCTCTCCATCCCCAATGCTGCTGTAAATAGTGTTATAATTATTATTGCTATTATAGACCCCCCCCCCCCAGCTGCTACTGTAAATTTCAAAATTCAATGTCAATGCTCGTGTTCTCTTTCTGAATCCTCCTTTTAAAATTTAATCGTCCCTGTCAAGGCATGCACATAATTGTATTGTGATGTCATAGTCTGTGTGTGTCTGTGCGCACGCACACAGCAGATTTTGGCAACATTTACAATGGTTGCTGATGCGCTGCTACATGATTTCACTATTCGCTGTACCGGCCGGGCATTTGGTGTGTACTCCATGCTCCAGTGTGGCCTCTCTGCTGCTCCTTTCTTGTTCATATTTAATTTTTTTAACTTGAATGCGATGGTGAAAACGAGCGAGCAGTGATAATAATGATGATGGTGTCTGGCTGTAGAAGCGGAATGCTGACAGCTAGCCAGTCTTTACCTGTTGCAGTGTGTGGTCTTATCCCAACCACATAAGTCAACTTCGCGTATAACGACACTCGGCGGGGCATCAAAAAGGTGTCCTTATTCGCGAAACGTCGTTATACCCGAAGTCTCATCATGTATTACAGTGAGATGGGACTTTGCTCTGGGCATGGAAATTCTGTCGTTATTCGCGAATTGTCGTTATATCCGCAGTCGTTATCAGCGAATTTGACTGTCCTGTGTGTCTACAGGTGAGCTCGGTGAAATCCGACCCACGGTGTATGCCACGTAGTATTTGGCGCCCGAACTTGCACGGCCATTGACGCCCTGGAAGTGGTGCGAATGCGGCTGGACGTACTTGAAGTACGCATGAACAAGTATAGCGATGGTATATAAAGAGGGTCCGAACCGGGGTTTTCCCGATACGGTTCAAATGGTCACAAGACCGGGACTCTGCCAGCAGGGTTATGGTGGTAGCAGGGAGTCGTAAAATACCGACTCCCTGGGTGGTAGTCAGGAGCACTGTGCGTCCTCGCCTTGTAACCATGGTAACATGCTGTCGACATCGAAAGTACAGTGATGTAATTGGACCTGGTCCAGGGCGCCAGTTTTGGCACTTTGGGTCGGATTTCCTGCATTTTGACGCTTGCCATCCGTCCACAACCACTGAGCCGCAGACCATGCCAAACGCTCAAATCATGGTGATGGGAAGCGAACAACACGTGATAACATTGGCCGACACATGCAGTGGTATCACTGCGCTGGCCAATGGTATCACGTGTTGTCCTGGACAACTCACCAAAGAGTGAAGCACGCTAGTATCTTCCAACGGCCTTCAGTTCCCCCAGTTGGGGAGCAACCAGAAGAGAGAGCAGGCACATTAGAGAAAAAGGGCACCGAGAATCGCTCTCCAATATTGCGCGTCATGTCCACCAATAGAACGAAAGCAGAACCAGGGAGAATAATGTTGCACGTAGAAACACAGGGATGGGCATGGGCCATTAGAGAGGTACAACACGTTTTGCATGTTGAGGCATGTCTTTTTGAAGATAATGACAAATGGACATTATAGTAATAGGTTGTTCTACTATTTGACCGACCTATGGAAGATGGCAACAAAGAAAATTTTTAAAAACAAAGAAAAATGGACATATGTCAATATATAACGTGGCAGAGAACACCGATCAGCCAATTGTATGCAGTTTATACAACAGAGGAGAACAGCGATGTAAAAATTCATGAAATTTAGTTGTAAAATAATTATTAATAGTTTGGCGGATGGCATAATATGCAGCCCCTTCAGCAGACATCGTGTAGCAATACACTCAAACGCCTCTTATCCGGACGCCTCAGATACGGGCACGCCTCTCTACCGGGCACCTTCAGCTTGAGTTCCTATACCACAAATGCTTCGCATTTGAGGTTTTTGAACTGTTTTCCGTATGTGGAAGTGCTTATTTTTCACTGCCAACCTATATAATCCACACATTTTTACCAATGGGTTCCTTTTGTATCCTGAACATGTGCAATACGTTCCAAATAATCTTCTTCAAAAATGATATGATACATGGTAGATGAGTTATCCTGAGATACGGGCAAATCTGAGATACGGGCAGTGCCCGGTCCCAAGGTGCCCGGATAAGAGACGTCCGAGTGTAATGCCAAACACACACACACAGTCAGTGTGTGTTTGGCATATTGCTACACGATGTCTGCTGAAGGGGTTGCATATAGTCACAACAGTCACATGCTGGTCGCGTGAAAACGTCATCAATTGCAGACCGAAACGTGTAGTGTGGTTGCATATCGACTTGTACTGAGATATACACGGAACTTGTACAGTAAAAAAGCCCCCTCCTTTGCATTGGCTTCTGCCATTGGACGGTGAAATAAAATAAAATAAATAAATAATAAAATTTTAATATGGCAAGAAGTAGGACGAGCTGAAGCGACATGTGGACTACTTTATTAACAATGTAAGCGATGGAGACGATGCAAGAAACAACCTAAAGGGTAAGGAAAAAATACATGTAAGAAGAAAAAGGCAATGGAAAAAAAAGATGATTCGAACAAGTTTTCGTACAACACTCTTCAGGAATCACCGTTGTACTAAAGAACAAAATGAGAACAAAGGAAATAATATAGCAATCAAGGTATTACCCTTTAGGTTGTTTCTTGCATCGTCTCCATCGCTTACATTGTTAATAAAGTAGTCCACATGTCGCTTCAGCTCGTCCTACTTCTTGCCATATTAAAATTATTGTCTCCTCGTCGAATTTTTAAATAATAAAATTAATAAAGTTTTTAGGAAATTAGAGGCCACATGCCACGTACTGCTCTTTTCTCTCCGAAACTCAACACTTGCAAGCCAGATATGAAAGAAAGAAAAAATCATCAGTCACACCACCGGGACTCGAACCAGGGACCTTGCTGATCGCGAGCAATGCTCTAACCAACTGAGCTACAGTATGACTCTTATCCACAGTGATGGTAAATCTATCCTTCTTCGATCAATCCATATCTGGCTTGCATCATACTGGCAACTCACACCAATCAAGAGGGCCCTCGGCCATTCGCTTGAAATCATGGGGAGCGCATCAAATTATGTCCAAGTCAATTATTCCCTTTCCTTACCCATTGTGCAAGCTCAAGCTGGAGACAGATCTATTTCATTCCTTGGTGCTGACCGCTTTAATGCGCTTCCCGAATCCCTTCGCCCAAATCATACCCCCAATTCATTTCGCCAGGAACTAAACAATTTCATTTATCTTGGGCACCCTGTAAGAAGACCTTAGGGTCTGTTGGGAATGCCCAAGTAAAATAATAAAATACAATACAAAAAAATTTCCACTGCGAGCAAATACAAGTTGCAATTTCAAATTTGGACTTCACGGAGAATTTCAAAGTTTTTAGGAAATTAGAGGCCACATGCCACGTACTGCTCTTTTCTCTCCGAAACTCAACACTTGCAAGCCAGATATGAAAGAAAGAAAAAATCATCAGTCACACCACCGGGACTTGAACCAGGGACCTTGCTAATCGCGAGCAATGCTCTAACTATAATAAAACCTGGTTTAATTAAAGGGGAAGTTAAGGCAAAAATCAAAATTTCACCAGTTGTAGTCTTCGGGATGCTGAGTCGAATGGTCTTGGTCCGAGAAAGCTGAGACGCTCCCTTCCTACTTGAATCCCCATCGAACTCGCGCACTTCCACCGAAACTGGGTGACTGCGCCCTACTAGATGGGGATTTGTATGCAAAATGTCACTAAAAGCGCCATTTCCTTCTTATAAAAGCACGGATGACCGCGATTGGCCCATATTTCGTAGTCTTTTGGACGCTGAGTCGACTGGTTTTGGTCCGAAAAGGCTGCGATGCAGTGTTCCTCCTTTATTCCCAATCGAACATGGTTGAACAAGCGGTCACGTGCTCCTGCGTACACCAGTCACCTGGTCACCGTGCCTGCAGGGTACAACTTACTAGCCAGTTTGACCTTTTTTGGGTGCAGTCCTGTCACTCGAGTTGAACTCGAGTTGAACCTTGGTGTGAAAGTTGTCGCCTGCTGGCGTGGTGACCAGGTGATTTGGGCACCCAGGAGCACGTGACCGCTTGTTCAACCACGTTCAATTGGGAATAAGGGCCGAACGCTGCATCGCAGCCTTTTCGGACCAAAAACCAGTCGACTCAGCGTCCAAAAGACTACAACAGTCATATGGGCCAATCGCGGTCATCGGTGCTTTTATAAGAAGGAAATGGCGCTTTTAGTGACATTTTGCATACAAATCCCCATCTAGTAGGGCGCAGTCACCCAGTTTCGGTGGAAGTGCGCGAGTTCGATTGGGATTCAAGTAGGAAGGGAGCGTCTCAGCTTTCTCGGACCAAGACCATTCGACTCAGCACCCCGAAGACTACAACTGGTGAAATTTTGATTTTTGCCTTAACTTCCCCTTTAAGCCCCCCCCCCCCCCCCACCACGGTGCAAGCAAAACGGTCGTTAAGGTGGCAGACTACCCAAAAATTCGCTGAAAAACGAATTTGTAAATTCATATTGAGTGCTACATCAGTTGAAAGAGCATGAATAGCTGCAAATTCTCTGAAAATTGTATCCCGATCTGACCAGCCGTTCAAGAGTTATGGCCGAAAATGTGCCCTTGCAAGGAAAGATTTTTTTGTTGCACGCTGTCATTTGTTGGCAGCATTGTATTTGAATGTGAGCAGACCGTGCGCAACTTGTCGTATCATGGAAACACGCGAAAGTGTGCAGAATTTTGCTCCAAGTCCAAAAAAGTCCAAAAAATCACGTTAAAAACCACTTTCAGCAGGACTTTTGCCAGCACCCTCGTGACGTTGCAGATATGTGGCTTGATTATTGTAGTTGACGTTGATTTAGTGACTTTGGCAAGTTTTAGTCGTGTCAAGAAGTCAGGTAGGATTCAGTACTAGGCAGTAGTGGAACGTGAGTGGTAGTCTTTGCCGGTTTCTGAGGGTATCCTTGATTTGGTGTGCAGCGCTGTGGAAATGGCTTGCTGTGGAGGTCCCAGCACTGGATGTTGTATCAAAGGTACGACCTCGTAGCACACCCTAAACCTAAAAAAATTCAAAAATTGACTTGGGTCTGTGGGAGTCTGTCAGAGAACGCCCACTCGTTCCGTTGTGACAGATTCCAGGGCCACGTTGAGGGGCCCTACCCCATCACCCATGGCTGCTTCTGGACTTGTTTTAGGTTTGGGTCCCGCGCACGGACAGAATGGGCACGAAAATGTGAAAAAATTGTAAATGCATTTGTTTGGCTCCTGGGTGGCTCGCACACCGTGGCACTATGCTGGAAATTTGAGTTTTTTCCGGCCTGGAAAGCCTGTCAGTGAGGCGCAAGAACTTGTAAATCATGTCCTGAGGGCCAGCATAGTGGCAGGAGTGTGTGGTCAAAATTTCACTCAAAATCCATTGAGAAACACCAAAGTTACGGTCAATTGAATGCCATATGAAATTTATGGGTAGGCTGCCCCCAGCCAGGTGGTCTAGAACCAGGTCCCACAGTTTCTGTGTAGGACTGTCTATGCATGGCAAAAACGGTCGTTAAAAGGTAGCAGCCTACCCATAAATTTCATTATGGCATTCAATTGACCGTAACTTTGGTGTCTCTCAATGGATTTGAGTGAAATTTTCACCACACACTCCTGCCACTATGCTGGCCCTCTGGACATGATTTAAAAGTTCTTGTGCCTCACTGACAGGCTTTCCAGGCCGGAAAAACTCAAAATTCCGGCATAGTGTCACGGTGTGCGAGCCACCCAGGAGCCAACAAAATGCATTCACAACTTTTTCACATTTTCGTGCCCATTCTGTCCGTGCGCGGGACCCAAACCAAAAAAAGTCCAGAAGCAGCCATGTGTGGTGGGATAGGGCCCCTCAACGTGGCCCTGGAATCTGTCACTACAGCACGAGTGGGCGTTCTCTCACAGACTCCCACAGACCCAAGTCAATTTTTGAATTTTTTTTAGGTTTAGGGTGTGCTACGAGATCGTACCTTTGATACAACATCCAGTGCTGGGACCTCCACAGCAAGCCATTTCCACAGCGCTGCACACCAAATCCAGGATACCCTCAAAAATCGGCAAAGACTACCACTCACGTTTCACTACTGCCTAGTACTGAATCCTACCTGACTTCTTGACACGACTAAAACTTGCCAAAGTCACTAAATCAACGTCAACTACAATAATCAAGCCACATATCTGCAACGTCACGAGGGTGCTGGCAAAAAGTCCTGCTGCACGGCGGCGGGCGAAGCCGTGCAGTCCAATACGTGGCTAAAAAACGTGATTTTTTGGACTTTTTTGGACTTGGAGCAAAATTCTGCACACTTTCGCGTGTTTCCATGATACGACAAGTTGCGCACGGTACCGCGGTCTGCTCACATTCAAATACAGTGCTGCCAAAAAATGACAGCGTGCAACAAAAAATCTTTCCATGCAAGGGCACATTTTCGGCCATAACTCTTGAACGGCTGGTCAGATCGAGACGAATGTTCAGAGAATTTGCAGCTATTCATGCTCTTTCAACTGATGTAGCACTCAATATGAATTTGCAAATTCGATTTTTCAGCGAATTTTTGGGTAGACTGCTACCTTAATTAATTAATTAATTTAAGAGCAGGTGGTCGCTAAACCCAGAGGTCGCTTACACCAGGTTTTACTGTACTGTGATTTTATGTCCAGTAGAAACCTGTAACTAAAGACCACCGTGACTAGAGACCAGCCTGCTACTAAAGACCACTTTGCCAGGCACGGATGGTCTCACATTCATGGTAGTCACGGCCGTGCAAACCTCTAACTAAGGACCACCTGCCACTAAAGACCGCTTTCTCTGGCCCCAAGGGGTGGTCGTTAGTCACAGGTTTTACTGTAGTGTGGCTGCAGCCTAACATCATGCAACACTAGCTGTTCTGATTGGCCTGAACTAAATGATTTAATCCTATGCCAGAGCGCTTCGATTGCCAACTACTTGAAATTGTCTGACGATCTGACAAATCACTCCGCATTAAAGGGGAAGTACAGTCAGACCTCGCTTATCCGGTTCTCGTTTATCCGGATCCCTCGCCATCCGGAAGAAAATAGTTGGTTACAAATGTACAGCATATGCCATGCTTACATACAGTATGTGTGTTCGATTATCCGGTTCCCTCGCCTATCCGGATATTTTTGTGGAAAACGGATGTGTGCGGTTATGCGAGGTCTGACTGTATACCCTAAAATCAAATTTTCACCAGTTGTAGTCTTCTGGGTGCTGAGTCGAATGGTCTTGGTCTGAGGAAGCTGCGACGCTCCCTTCCTACTTGAATCCCAATCGAACTCGCGCACTTCCACCGAAACTGGGTGACTGCGCCCTACTAGATGGGGATTTGTATGCAAAATGTCACTAAAAGCGCCATTTCGTTCTTATAAAAGCACGGATGACCGCGATTGGCCCATATGTTGTAGTCTTTTGGACGCTGAGTCGACTGGTTTTGGTCCGAAAAGCCTGCGATGCAGCGTTCATCCTTTATTCCCAATCGAACATGGTTGAACAAGCGGTCACGTGCTCCTGGGTGCCAAAATCACCTGGTCACCGCGCCAGCAGGCGACAACTTTCACACCAAGGTTCAACTCGAGTTCAACTCGAGTGACAGGACTGCACCCAAAAAAGGTCAAACAGGCTAGTAAGTTGTACCCTGCAGGCACGGTGACCAGGTGACTGGTGTACGCAGGAGCACGTGACCGCTTGTTCAACCGTGTTCGATTGGGAATAAAGGAGGAACGCTGCATCGCAGCCTTTTCGAACCAAAACCAGTCGACTCAGCGTCCAAAAGACTACAACATATGGGCCAATCGCGGTCATCCGTGCTTTTATAAGAACGAAATGGCGCTTTTAGTGACATTTTGCATACAAATCCCCATCTAGTAGGGCGCAGTCACCCAGTTTCGGTGGAAGTGCGCGAGTTCGATTGGGATTCAAGTAGGAAGGGAGCGTCTCAGCTTCCTCGGACCAAGACCATTCGACTCAGCACCCCGAAGACTACAACTGGTGAAAATTTGGTTTTAGGGTATACTTCCCCTTTAACTATTATCGGATACTCTTACAGTGTTGTTCAATGAAATCCAGTCGCGTCGCTCGAGTACGCGCCGGACTTTCCGCAGCATAACACCTTCAAACACTGGGCTGCGAAATGATGCAAGGCGCAAACTTGAGTGACGCTACTGGATTCCATTGAGCAGCACTGCACATGTAGATACCTTTGTCTTTGACGTGGCATTCTCTTGAACTCTCTTTTAGTTTTATGAAAGGAATTACAGAAATCTACCGTACACATCTCACATGCCTACACAGTGTGTGTTTAGACAGCTGTCTTCTCTCTCCCACAGTCTACTAATTGATACTGTACACGCGTGTACACTGTACAGCATCAATTAGTAGACTGTGGGAGAGAGAACGAGAACGAGAAACACGTCCATTCAGATAAGAAGTGATCTTTTCAAAGCAGTCAAGGTCACACACCACACACACAGTACAGTGACACGCACACACAAGCGCGCGCGCATCACTTTACCTTGTTGTGATTTGGGACCAGGATCCTAGGAGCTGATGTAGTGATGGTGGAGTTTGAGCGGTAGCGGCAGCGGCAGGTTGAGTTTGTGTCGGGACGGTAGCATCAGCGAGTCTGGTAGTAAGTCGCGTCCGTCCGACGACACGACAACATCTTTGGAAAGGAACCTGGGGGAAAGCATCTTTGCTCAATACTGTGACACGTCTTCAAGTCGGTCTTACGAAAAACAAGAAATCAGTAGACAGTGATTCGAATCTCAGAGAGACAGAGCTAGAGGGACACTAGCACTCGACAGCATTATACTATTAATTTTATAGATTATAAACACAATGATAGAAAAGCTGACAGTGACAGGATCGCTTTTCTCAGTAGTAAATAATCAGGGAGTCGTAAAATACCCTGTATATTATTTATTATGATAATGCCCAAGCCCATATATGCGTCTCCACGGCACTTTCGAATTTCTCCCACGCATGCACCCGGTGACCCGGTGACCCCGGTGGACCCGGCAATGCGGACATGATCTTGCGCAAGTCACGTGCCGGGCAGCATAGGCGCATGCCAGCAATGCCTGACGTCAGAATATTTTCGACGTGAGTCACATGACCATTTACATGTCCAAAAATCAACAAACATGGCACTTTGGCACATGTTTTTGTTTTCTCTGCTTGTTTTGGCCAAAGTTTTTTCTGTCGTCTTCTGAAAAAGGTCCAAAAGACAAGGATCTGCTGTGGCTTTCCCTCTTTGAATGAAGGGTTGCTGACAATCGAACTGAAAGATGGCGGTGGTTCAAGTTATTCTCGCGTGCGTCGGTTTTCTTGTTTGCTGCGCCAGTTTGTCTGTCGGCACACGAGTGCGCCTGGAAGCTGACCAGCTACTGGCTAGGGAAATGTTGGACTGGAAAGTCATTGGACAGGCCAAGCCACACGAGCAGCACCAGCTGGTATTCGCCCTGCGCCAGAGTAACATCGAGCATCTTGAGAAGAAATTGATGGCCGTGTCCACGCCAGGAAATCCCGAGTACGGACGATTTCTACGCGCCGAGCAGGTGAACGATTTGGTCCGTCCGCGCAAGGAGTCCCTGCGAGCCGTCGAGCGATGGCTGACCAGTGCTGACGTATCCGCGAGCAAGTCCTGCCGGTACACGGCGGCGCAGGAGTTCCTGCACTGTGACGTCAGCGTGGCCGAGGCCAGCAGGCTGCTGGAGGTGAGGTTCGAGCGGTACCAGAAGGGCGCGCTGACGGTGCTGCGCGCCGCCGAACACTACACGGTGCCGGCGGAGGCGGCGGAGCACGTGGACTTTGTCGGCGGAGCGCACCGCTTGCCCGTGGAGCACGGCGGCATCAAAATGCCGAAGAAGACGTCGCAGCAGAACGGCGGCGGCGGACCGCCCAAGCAGATGCCGATGAAGCCAAGCATTCTGCGCGAGTACTACGAGGTGCGGGACGAGGTCGGCGCGGGCATGGCCAGCCGCAACATCCAGGGCGTGTCGCAGTTCGCGCAGCAGTACTACAGCGTCAGCGATCTGGGCAAGTTCATGAGCGAGTTCAACGGCAACGTGACGTCCTTGGCGAACGTCAGCAAGCAGATTGGCGAGAACCCCGGACCTTCCACGGAGGAGGCTAGCATGGACATCCAATACTTGATGTCGCTTGGTTCCAACATCCCCACCTGGTCCTACTACACGACTGGAGATCTCGTAAGTTGAAAAGTTGGTGTAGCACCACACAGCCACGCGAGCACCCCCCCCCCCACACACACACAAACGTGCGCACGTACACACACACACACACCACACACATACGTACATGCACGCACACCATGTACCATGTATACGCCCGTCGCAAGAGAAGCACGCAAAATCTGCAAATGCACTGGATGTGCACCCACAGATTTTCTCTTGTAGCAACGATAGCGAACAAGATCTGAATGAAACAGATCAAGACTTGCACCAGATAACTGTCTAATCCACACAACGCGCACTCACACACACACATACACACATACATGCACACACACACACCACACACACACAAACGCACTAGTTACGTCAGGGCCAGCCCTGGTGATGAATGCCCTCGAAAGGCATGAATTGGCTTGATTTTTTTAATTTCCGGGGTTGGTCCCCGTTCCCCTCTACTACATCCTTTGGGCGAAGCCGGACCATTCAAAAGTAGTTTCCGACGCCCATGCACACACACACACACACACACATACACACACACACATACACACACACACACACGTACACACATGGCATGTGCTGCACAAGCAACACGTTATGAATCTGCTGAGCATTTACTGTACCTGTTGCACACAAGCAAGCAGTTTTGAGTGAATGTACACACGCATACGCTCACGAATACTGAACGTGTGGATTCATAGATCTACACAAAATCCAATCGCGCCGATAATGTTGGTGCCCAACGCCCAGTTCCCATCCCGGTGTTTGCAGATCTAGTGACAAGTCCATTCGCCAACTTGGGGCTGCTGGTACACTAAAACTATGTGTCTGAAGAAGAAAGAACTCTTTGCACATCATGGCTATCATATTCGTTTTCTGACCTAAATATGTCATCGACTTCATGATCTTGAATAAGAATGAAATGAGACTCAGGACTCAGGCCCGTAGCAGCCTCATTCTCGTTGGTCTGGCAAGATGCAACCTCGATTAGCGACAACTACGACTGAATCGAAAAACCACCAGCACTCTTCTTCTTCGACCACCTTTGTCTCGAACTGATCGATTGCACTTGAGTCGCCACTTCCAGTCCTACCCGGTGCAGGCGCCAAGCACGCGCCTCTTTGGGTTTTTTTGGGATTTTTTCCCCCCGGACTGTTCGCTGCGGCCCTGAGACTGTACCAAACCTACGGGCCTGGTTGGGTGAATGGACTGTGGGGCAGCACAGCACCCGCCCTGGCGTTGACTCGCTCCATCGGATATCACTGGGCATTCCGGTGGTATGGGTGCGTAAGGCGACCGCTCAAGGGACCTTACAACATGTGGTCTCTGTTACCAGGTAGTCTCCTTGTCCAGGGTTTATTTGACTGGACATATCATCCATTAGTCCTGGTTGCATTGGTCTTCTTGGACAGGTGGTCGCCTTATCCGAGTGGTCGCCATGACACTTTTTACTGTACAGTGGTATGAATTTCAATGTACCGTTAAGTTTTGTATAAAAGCCGCGGCTTCTATGACTTTCTTGGTGAAATTTTGCAGGCTTCTATACAAGACAGGTATTTCTATGTATGTCAACACTAAAACCAGGCTTATGTGTGATTTGATGGGCCCAAAATTGCGGCTTCTATTCGAGGGCGGCTTCTATTCAAGTGCGGCTTTCATACAAGACTTAACGGTATTGAACCGAGAATGGTGGCAAAGAGTAGAACGAGTTAGCACATTGTCCATGATTGCTTGAAACGTGCACTGCTGGCTGGCTCATCTTTATCTCTCGTGGCCTGTTTGACAGTATGTGCTTGGTGTGTGTACGTGCGTGTGTGTGTGTGTGTGTCTGAGGTGTGTGTGTGTGTGCGTGTGCACGTATGTATTTGTGGGTGCATGTGTGTGTCCGTGAGTATGGTGTATACGTGTGTTTGTATTTGACTATTTGTGTGTGTGTGCGTGCGCGTGCCTGCGTGCTCTCGACACACAGGATTGCTACCTGAGCTGGATCATGACCGTGGCCAACATGTCCACCATCCCGAACGTGTTCAGCGTCAGCTACGGCAACTGCGAGGTCGAGTTCAGCCAGACGTACCTGCAGCGCATGAACGTCGAGTTTGCGAAGGTGGGCGTGCGCGGCACTACGCTGCTGTTCGCGAGCGGAGACAGCGGTGGCGGCTGCAATGGCACCCAGGACTGCCCCACGTTCCCGGCGTCGAGCCCCTACGTCACCTCTGTCGGCGCCACCAGTATTGGCGAGCCGGGAAACATGAACCAGAGCGCCCCTGAGGTCAGCATCTGGTTCTCGGGCGGCGGCTTCTCGCGCTCGTTCCCGCGCCCCTCGTACCAGGACGCCGTCGTCGAGAAGTTCCTACGGACGGCCGAGCGCCTGCCGAGCGCTGACTACTTCAACCGGAGCAACCGTGCGTTCCCAGATGTCGCCGCGATCGGCGCCGATTTCAATCTGGTGAGTGGCGGTGACGTGTTGACCATGTGGGGTACGTCGTGTTCCGTGCCCACGTTCGCCGGTATCATATCGCTCGTCAACGATCGGCTGGTCAACGAACACTCGGCGACGCCGCTCGGCTTTCTCAACCCGCTGCTCTACCAGGAGGGCGGCATCGGGGCCACTGCTCTCACCGATATCCTCGCCGGATACACGGCCGGATGCAACATGCAGCCGGCCTTCTACGCCCAGCGCGGCTGGGACCCGACCACCGGCTTCGGCTCTCCAAGGTTTCCCGCGCTTCTGGCCGCCGCGCTCAAAGCCAAGGGCATTCATTAACCATTATATTTCGGGAGTGCGCCGAGGACATACCGGCAGGGAACATTCTGTGCACATGGCGTGAGGTTAGTGCTAGTAGTCTTTCGTCCGTTGCCAGGCATACTTCCCGCGAGGGATTGATTTAGGTACTGTACCTGTTCATTTCAGTGTCCAGCTTGAAAGCTATATGCAGTGCGTGCGTTTCTTTGCATTCCTATTTTTCTTTGAAGCCCGGCCAATGGCGCGTCGCAGCTTTTCCGCAGTGATCATCATCTGAATTCTGTTTTCATGGCGATGTTTGTTCTTGGTTTCGGCTCCGCTTGCCGCGCCGCCACCGAGACTGGTCGGCGCCAGCTTTTCAATTCTGCTCTATTCCCGTTCCAAATCAGAATCTGTCCTATTCGGGTATTGTCCCTACACGAGTACATACTACTTGACGTCGAGCAATTATTTCACGTCTTTCCTCTATGACTATCTTGTACATGCATGTCTGTACGTGTACATGTATTTGACAGTTTTTGTTTGTTGTGTCTTTTCCTCTCTATCGTGTGGTTGTGTGCATACCCTGTATGTACGCTGTACATCATCTAACCGTTCTAGGTCATCCCGGTGTTATATTGTACAGTGCTGTACATGTATGTACATGTATGTGCGTTGTACATCTAGGTCTTTCCTGTGTTGTGTAGTCCATGTATGTGCATTGTACATTATCATGTATGCGCATTGTGCATAATATGTACATGTGTGCGCATTGTACATCTAGGCCTTTCCTGTGTTGTACAATCCATGTACATGTATGTCCATTGTCCATTCTTCTGTATGCGCATTGTACACCTAGTGCTGCTTAGGGCTGCCGCAAATAACTATCTTCCACCGAGACCTAGTACCTGCTGCTGCACAAGTACTGTACGTGAACAAATATATCTATCCTGCAATCGATTATAATCCTGCTCTCTTGTGGCGGACCGGCAGTCCAGGCAACTATAGGGGGAATGTACGAATGGTTTCACATTCATGGGGCGAGTCGGTTAAAAGCATCTCAACTGATGATGTAATCGCATAACCTCTATCGTACTGTACACGCGTAGTCAACCGTGCGACGGCGGATATGCAGCAACTCGAAGAATAACGATTATCTTCAGATCACTCGACTACTACAGTCATGTGATTGGAGTAGTCGAGTGATCTGAAGATGATCGTTTATACAGCAAGAGTATAAGCCCCCACGAGTACGAGTGTGCAACTCCTGATACTAGTTACCGTATTTCCTCGATTAATGGACCATGCTCGAATAATAGACCATGCTCAAATAGTAGACCCTCCTACAGGCCTCACGGAAAAATAGTAGACCATGCCCGAATAAGAGACCCGGTCTCTTATTTGAGTTCATCGCTTTGCGCATGCGCACTAAGAAAGCACGTGGTGGATCAAAAAAAGATGCGATTTTAGGTTGCGCAACTACAATTTTTGTAGTGGCTATTGCTTTCTTTCATTATTTGAGCACGGTACATTCTATATTATGACGTGTTAAAATCCACCATTTCCAGCGATGAAAACATAGTGGATCGTGCTCAAATAATGGACCATGCCCAAATAAGAGACCGGGGGTCCAACCCTCTTCAAAAAACAAAAGACCGGGTCTATTAATCGAGGAAATACGGTAGTACCTATTCTAGGGGGGGGGGCCTTGCTTACACCATTTTTATACAGGGAGTCGTCAAATACCATTATTTTTGGCGACTCCCTGGTTACCGGTTATACGTTAGTGGTTACACTCCTGGGCGGATCAGTCTATGGCCAGCACCCCCAGTTAAAGGATACTGCCACAGCTACAGCAGTACAGGCTGTCCAAGACTAAAGGGTACTCTTGCTTTAGTAAAGCAAGAGTACGAGTCCTGCTTTGACAGTTTGAGCAGGACATGTGTCGCGACGTCGACAGTCGAGTCCTGCTTTGGACCAAACAAAACATTTTGTGTACATTTTGATTTTACATGTACATACATGGGAGAAAATCGCCTGTGAATTCATTTTTATCGGTGTTCTGTCAGCTGCATGACGACTGTACGTGCAATACGGTGTATTGTGTAGATCTACTGTCTGTCGATGTAGATCTACATGACAGTTCGTTGGCCTCAGCCTCAGGCTCAGCCCACTCACTCACTGTTTTGCGTGTCAGTCCCTATCCGTCTCGTAGAGTCTACTCGATGAAAAAGTTCTTTCTGTGGATCGATCTGATCAGTTTTGAGTTGTGATTGCAGAGCGTAGATCTACTTATATTTGCAGCAGTCATAGCTGTCGAGGTTGCGTTTTAGTTCAGTTCGGAGCGCTACGGCTTGTCCTTCCCCTGGTGCGATAATATACCACCGTGCGCCCGAGCATTGCCCTATTTCGTATTCTAGCTGTGACTGGAAAGCAGAACAGCCGAAGCAAATATGCCGGTGTTTCACACGAAGACGATCCAGACCATCCTGGAGCCTGTGGCTCTGCAGGTAAGCAACCACACATGCGATACTTGTATTCTTGTGGCCTCTTGCTGATTTTCCCAGCGCCCCCAAAGCCCTCGGTTCTAGTCTGGAGCGGCTGGCGCGGAGGAAAAGTTCCAAACGTTTCGGATGTAGTTCTGAGCGCTTCGCCGATGCAGCGGAAATAGTGAACGAGCCCTGCGATCGATAAAATCGCTGCAGCGACTGCATGTAGCGTAGACTAAGCAAAGATAGGACTTGCCACTACCCTTAGCCTTTGCCTTTGGTTTCAGCTGCTGCGACTTGTGGTGTCCTGAGAGTGGCCATCGTAATTCTGTCAAGAGTCGGCCGCGACCATTGCCGAGTTGGATGAACTGAGTTCTGTCTGTTGTCGACTCGTAACTACTCACGCGGCGGGATTTTTGCCTTTGTTCCCTGTCGATGTCCTCCTGGCTTTGACAAGTAACTCTCTCAGTTTGAGCCTCTGGTGCTCCCTGCCTGTGTCACAATCATGTGTGCAGTCCTCGCCTCTATAAAGGATGAAATGCCCCCTGTTATGGCAGAGTCAAGACTATGTTGTGATTGTACCCTTGCTTTGCTCGAATCGGCTGTGTTTGCGTGGATCATGCATTCATGGCATGAGGTCGGAACCGCTGAGCTCGATGAGCCGAACCTTCTGCGTGGGTTTATGCGCTCGTTGTTTTGTTTTTGCGATCTGGGTGGCCTACATTGTAGTGTGACAATTTGAAATTACAATTTGATCCTGTTCCATCATTGTGACACACAAGTATCGGCCTTTGTCAACTCCATGATGTTGAGTGAAGTGACTATGACTTGCGGGAGACCGATTGCTCTACACACTCGCTGCACGGCAGCTATGCGTATGAAAGAAGAACAGTATGTTGTTACTCTTGCCTAGTATCGGTTGTTGCAGCAACTGGTGTACTGGTGGCAAGGAAAAAAAATGTATCGTCGCTGATTGAACCGGGACACGGGCACTGCTATGCGCTGTCACACGAGGAGCCTGACGCGAGGCGATGGGGCGCTGGCTGGTGCTGGTGGCACAGGTTGTCAAAGTCCTAAAAATCGCGACAAGTGGCGTGAATGCTCTGAATGGGCAACTAATAAAACTATTGCCACGCGCTCCGTGTTGGATAAGTACTATTAGTGCAAGCGCCCGCTGCATCATGAAGTCCGTGCCATGCCAGGGCGCATCGTTTTCACTTATTTGACTACGAATACAGTTCATTCCGAGAATGTCTACAATCGTAAACAGCTGTCGCACTTTGCAATCAGCTCTGGGAACTGTGTTTCCTCACATCCGGAGCTGTACATGTCCTTGACTTGTCTTTTTGGGATCATGTAACAGTCACAGTTACCATGGTTACTGATGTCGCAAAACGAAAAAGATTCCATTAGCACTAGCAGGCCAGACTTTGCAAGTGCATGGATGTGTGAATATGAGCATGCACATGATACAGGGAGCAATGGAAAAGTGATTTGCCGACGGAGTGGTGCAGCTTGCAGGGGCGTAGGAAGCAATGATTTCCACCAAGAGTACAATTGTTATGAACGCCATGAGCACTACCAGCATTCGGACAGAATTTCTAGTTGACATCATCTTTATCAGGGTTCTAGCCAGGGGGGGGGGGGGGCAGCGTCCTCTTACTCTGATTGAGCCCCCCCCCCCCCCCCCCTGTGAAAAAGTAGCCCCCCTTCTCTTTCGTCGTTTTCGTGGTTTTTTTAGTGATGCAACGAATGGTGTTTTCTTCGAACGAACATTCTTTCGAATACTGCTTTGGCGAACGAACAAAATATTCTATATGCTTCTGATGTGGCCGTCAGTCAATCACCCCACTCACTGAGTAGACCCAGCAGTTATGTTGCAAACAGATCACGTGGATAGTCAATGAGCAATGGTGAAAGAGCAGATTTGACCGAAGAACAAGATTCACAGTTCTAAGAACACAGCTTTGCACTATCATCTTCAAACCCTACGTGTCGATTTTCACATGTTTGGCACTGAAAGAAATAGATTAAATTGCTACAAGGCATGTGCATCAGTAGGCGATTGTGTAAGGAATATGCCATGCTTCCGATTACAGAGCACGCTCCTACATCATCGGCAAATTTACATCGTAGATAATGAGATTCCCTCGACGGGTATTTTTTCTTTGCCTGTGAAAAATCAATGACAGAAGATGAAATGAATGAATGAAGTGGATGCTAGCACTGCGTTGTCTCCCATGATGTATATTATTATTATTGTGTGTGTGTGTGTGTGTGTGTGTGTGTGTGTGTGTGTGTGTGTGTGTGTGTGTGTGTGTGTGTGTGCCAGCTAGTTCGGTTGGTAGGTACACTTATGCCTGATTGTGTTGGGTCTGTTGCCAACAGGCTCGGCTGCTTGAAGGTGTAATGTTGTACCTGCCACCTTTGTTGGTTCCAGGGTTCATATACTTTCTATTTGAAGTATACATACCTGTTAACCATGGACTGCTTCTGGCTAGATTAACTCTTGTGTAATCAATGGTGCTAGTGAAGCTTTTATCAGATCCACTCTGATTTAGCCACTCACATTAGTAGCACATATTACCTTCACTGGGGGCAGGGGCAACTGCAGTTGGATCCCGGGACGGATACCTGATGCCGTCAATCCTTTTTCTGCACCTTGTCCTCACCCACTTACTGAGGTGTGGTGAGCCCATAAGTGGGATCATTTTCAAGTCCACCCAGAGTTTTGGGGATTTCAGGGGGTGTCGGCCGTTGGGCGGTTCAATAACCAATTGAGTCATCTTTCCAAGATTCCTTTTGAGTCTCTCTCCCCTCTTCCGGGGGGGGGGGGGGGGGGGGGGGGGGCTCACGTGACCAGTTCTGGCAGTGAGCAACAAGTACAGTACAGTGTGTATGTGTGTGTGTGTGTGTGTGTGTGTGTGTGTGTGTGTGTGTGTGTGTGTGTGTGTGTGTGTGTGTGTGTGTGTGTGTGTGTATAGCCATTTAGTTGCTATGGCTGCTGTAGCATCGCTATCATCATTTGTGTGCGTGTATGTTTGTGTGTGTGTATGTTTGTGTGTGTGTGTCTATGTATGTGTATGCATGTGTGTGTATGTGTCTGTGTGTGTGTGCATATGTGTGTGTATGTGTGTGCGTGTGCATATGTGTGCATGTATGTGCACATGTGGCTCTGTACGCACACTATGCAGGTCTCCACCATGGTGGTTCTGGACGAGGAAGCGGGTCAAGGCGGGAGCATGCCAGACCTGTCAGAGCCAGTGTCCGCTGTCAGTGCTGCCGTAGGCAAGCTCGTCACGGTACGTCCGTATGTCCACGTGTGTGCGTGTGTTCGTGTGTGTGTGTTTGTGTGTGCGCGCGTGCGTGTGTGCGTGTGTGCGCTCTACGCTTATATTCTGCCGGATGGTGCAATAAAGCAGCTACATTTGATTATCTTACGTTTCATTGTCATGTTGTGCCCTGGGTTTTAATTTTTAACCGAAAATTCCTATAATTATGTGTGCGTGTGTGTGTGTACGTGTGTACGTGTGTACGTGTGTACGTGTGTGTGTACGTGCACAGGTGGGAAAAGAGACGGCAGAATCCAGTGAAGACAAGCAGCTGCAGCAGGATTTGCCCCGTGCCTGGGAAGCGGCCGAGGTCTCCTCCACGCAGCTTGCAGAGGCGGCCGCAACGCTCCGAGACAACCCACGCAGTGGTCCCGGACGCAGGCTGCTGATATCCGGGGCTAGGGGTAAGAAGGCATGGCTCTTCTGGCAGATTATCTGTATGTGTGTGTGTGTGTGTGTGTGTGTGTGTGTGTGTGTGTGTGTGTGTGTGTGTGTGTGTGTGTGTGCATGTGTGTGTGTGTGTGTGTGTGTGTGCACATGTATGCATGTGAGCGAGAGACTTACAGATGATGTGGACGTGTGTATGTGTATGTGTGTACACGTGTGTACACGTGTGCGCCTGTGTGTGTGTGTGTGCGTGTGTGTGCATGCATGTGTATATTATGTGTGTGTGTGTGTGTGTGTGTGTGTGTGTGCACGTGTATGTGTATACGCGCACGTGTGTGTACGTGTAGGTATCCTGGAGGCCGTGTCCGACCTGCTGCTGACGTTTGATGAGTCTGAGGTTCGCCGGATCATCTCTGTCTGTGAGAGTGTGCAGGAATATGTGAAGGTGGCTGATGTGATTGAGGTGAGGCACAGCACAGGGTTGTAGGGTAACACTGGGCGCTGCTGCGGACATGTATGCCTGTGGCAGCATCATAGCCACTATTTTGCCTGTGCCAGTGGAGCCTGTCTAAGGTGAACGCTCAGGGGACCTTCGAAAATGTGGTCCTTGTTACCAGACGGTCTCCTTGTCCAGGGTCACTTGACAGGAAATAGCATCCATTGGTGCTGGTTTCAGTGGTCTTCTAGGACAGGTGGTCGCCACTGACTCTACAGTGTGAACTACACGGCTGAGTAAAAGCGGGTTTCCTCCGTTTGTTCACCCTTTATGCCTGTATGTGTTTATTTTTCTCTCTTCAGATCATGTCTGATCTTGTGATCTTCATCAAGAACCTCACACCCGGACTCACCGGTTTGAACAAGCTGATCGACAACCGTGCCAAGGAGCTGACTAACCCCGTGCACGCCGCCAAGCTTGTTGAGCACTGCTCCAATGTAAGATTTGTGTCTACTCGTGGACATACACACACACACACACACACACACACACACACACACCGTTGGACCATTGGACGCCCATTGCAAAGGCGATGATAGCGATGCTACAGCAGAAGCCATAGCAGCTTGTGCTGGGATTGCACCTTTCGACAACTTGCAAGGCTGAAGAATTGACCGCCACTATTCAGCCTGGTCAACACCACACAGCTATGAAGTGGCTTTTTCTGGCCAGTGAATCCCTACTTTTTGGTCTTTTTCATTTTTTTTACACACACACGCACACACAACACTTACACACCTGCTCTTCTGCACTATCAAGCATGCGCACACCTGGATGCACACGTACATACGTATGCATGCCCGGCTATCCCTGGGGGCACCAAAGTGAGTACTAGTATTTTCTACTAACCCCACCCAATGTTGCTCGACTTATGGTGGTAAAGACACACCTGGCAACATGGCGGTTCATTCCCACCCAATGTTGCTCGGCTTATTGGCACTAATCATGAATTCATCATCCTTACCTGACACCGAGAAATACACGCACGCACGCATCTCCCCCCCCCCCCCACATACACACACATACAAATAAATCAACAAACAAACAAACACCTCCCCCTCTCCACACACACACACACACTATCAACATCCTTTGTTCCGTGCATGTGTGTGTGTGTGTGTGTGTGTGTGTGTGTGTGTGTGTCTCTCTCTCTCTCTCTCTCTCTCTCTCTCTCTCTCTCCCTCCCTCCCTCCCTCCCTCTCCCTCCCTCTCTCTCTCTCTCTCTCTCTCTCTCTCTCTCTCTCTCTCTCTCTCTCTCTCTCTCTCTCTCTCTCTCTCTCTCTCTCTCTCTCTCTCTCTCTCTCTCTCTCTCTCTCTCTCTCTCTCTCTCTCTCTCTCTCTCTCTCTCTCTCTCTCTCTCTCTCTCTCTCTCTCTCTCTCTCTCTCTCTCTCTCTCTCTCTCTCTCTCTCTCTCTCTCTCTCTCTCTCTCTCTCTCTCTACTTCGCAGGTAAAGAAGGCAGTGCCCATGCTGATTGCATCCGTCAAGCTGGTGTGCAGTCTGCGTGCCTCTCAGAGTGGCGATGCCACGGACGCAGCCAGCAGTCGCAGCTGGCTCATGTCCACGATCAACGAGGATCTGAACGAGATCATTCGCATTCTGCAGATCAAGACGAGCAAGGACGATCTTGCGCAGGTAACGTCCGTCCTCTCCTTGGTGTCGCGTTGCTGGATGTTTGCCGATTTTAGAGAGGATTTCTATGATTCGATGCTAGACCACCTCCGCAAGGACTGCCCACCGCCGACTCCTCGTACAGTACGGCACGTAATCGTCTTGTAATGTTCCCGTGTCGTCGTTGTTGCGTATACGGTCTGGTTGTTGTCTGTCTGCGAAGTGCCCCCTGCCTTTGTGGCTGTGGACATGCTACCGTTTTGTCTTGTATTTGTCACGTGTGTGTTGTTGTGTGTGGCTGTTGACATGCTACCATTTGTCTTGTAATTGTCACGTGCGTGTTGGTGTGTATACGATCTGGTTATTGTCTGTCTACGAAGTGTCCCGTGTCTTTGTGGCTGTTAATATGCTGCAGTTTTGCACTGTAATGATCACGAGCGTGTTGTTGTTGCGCATGCGGTCTGATTATTGTCTGGCTACGAAGTGTCCCGTGCGTTTGTGGCTGTTGACATGGTACTGTTTTGTCCTGTTATGATCATGAGCGTGTTGTTGGGGATACGATCTGGTTGTTGTCTGTCTGCGAAGTGTCCCGTTCCTGCCGGACTGTTGACATGTTGCCGTTTCGTCTTGTACTGATCTCGTGTTTGTTTTCACGTATACGGTCCGGTTCTTGTCTGTCTACGAAGTGTCCCGTTCTTTTGTAAACTCTCTGTGTTTGCGTGCTTATGGGTGTGGGTGTGGGTGCTGTGCATACGTTTTGTCTTATGCTATTCCACGCGGTCTGGTCGTTGTCTGTCTACGAAATGTCCCGTTTCTATTGTGGGCGGGATGCGTACTTGTGGGTAAACGTGTGTGGGCGCATGGTTGGAAGTACGCAGTGCTGTTGCTACACCTATCATCTCCAACCATGGTCATGTGTGAGCCGGGATTCCGGAATCACATGTTATGAAATAGCGCTCGCATGGTTGGGATCCAGATAGTTGTCCCGTGGTGAGAGATTTCCGCGCGCCTGCACTGTTGTGTCATGCTCATTGTCGTTGTTTTTGTTGTCATTGGGTTTGTCGTTGTCGTCGTCGCTGTTGTTGTTGCCTGTGTTCAGGGTGATTTCAGCGAGATGGTGGCTAAGATCATGGGCAAGGACGAGCCCTTGGCCCAGCAGGCATTCCTCACGGACTTTGAGTCGGCCAAGCAGTTCTTGGTGAAGCGTAAGTGCACCTTGCAATGCTACGACTCCTATATCCCTGTTAGAACGGTGTTCATGCTCCGCTACCCGGAAAACGACAAGAGAGGAGTGGTGAACTCTTTTAAAGGAGATGGCAATTCTTGAAACGACTCCACTTGGGCAGTTGGGGTCGTGTGTGGACGGAAACTGTGGCACATAGAGATTTCTTACTGCTCCTTTGGAGCTGGTGCACATCTATCACATGACCATACAGAGCAGCCATGTTGGTTACTACTCCACTCAACTCCTGCATCTGTGGGTCACATGATCATGTCTGCCATGTTGGTTCCAACTCCACTCAACACCTGCATCTATGGGTCACATGACGTCGGCGGCCATGCTGGTTCCACTGTCCACTCAACCCCTGCATCTGTGGGTCACATGACGTCGGTGGCCATGTTGGTTCCACTGTCCACTCAACCCCTGCATCTATGGGTCACATGACGTCGGCCATGTCGGTTCCACAGTCCACATGACATGATCACTTTCTGCACAAATTTAGTCACATGACCAAGATGCGGAGCTGCTCCCACGCCCACCTAGAGTTAAACCTCTTTTAATAGGACGAACACCAAGGGACCGATGGTATTTGTTTGCAATAGCGGGAACTCTTCTTATCCGTATTTTATACCCAGTGAATACACCGTGATTTATCCAATAGAGTCATGAATAGTAGTTCTTCTAAAACGAAAGTTTGTCTTACCATTGTTCTACGTTTGTGGACAATGAAGTCTGTTGTTGAAAAGTCAAGCGGGCGTTGGATGCTGGCCTTGGCGCGTACACGCACTGCTGCCTGTACGCACCAATGCAGTAAGGGTGTCGATCCCCCGGACTTCAATGGCCACAACTGTACTTTTAAACGAGGTTTCATTGTACATTTGAAAATACCGCCATTCCTTGATGATGCCCAATGGGCGAAATATTGGCAAAAAGTTATCTATTTGGTGCAGCTGAGAGCCTGTTGCCGGAATGGCGGTATTTTCAAGTGCAAGAAATACGCTGCAATGGAGTTTGGGAATTCTGAAGAAACGTTCATTGTACATGTTCTTACTATGCACCTCTTTCTCTCTCTTGTTCTGACACTTCACACACACGCACAGTTGATCCTGAATCGGCTGACGCTGGCCTCGAAGCGCTGGACAAGTGTCTGGCCAAAGCTCTGGCACTGGCAGATCATCTGCAGGACGCGGAAATGCGCGAGTCTCTTCAGCGGCAAGTGGCCGAGCTGAGACCGATGATTGCGCGTCTCCAGGCCATGAAGGATGCTGGAAAGGTACTGCTATGTTGTGTGCTAGTTTGTACTGAGACGAGCTTGACAGTTAGTCGAATACAGGCACGTACACAATTTCTGTCGTCTCAGCAGCAGTAACAGCTGTTCTGCTGGCTATTCTGGGGGCAGTTTGGGCAGTGGAACACCCTATTTGATCATGTTATATGATTCTCTCTCTCTCTCGCTCTCTCTCTCTCTCTCTCTCTCTCTCTCTCTCTCTCTCTCTCTCTCTCTCTCTCTCTCCCTTTTTTTTAATTTATTTTAGCTTGACACAGCGGAAGGTCGTGCCTTGGCCAAGGAGATCGCTGCAAAGATCGACGCACTGGAGGAGACAATGCGAGAGGCTATGGTTAAAGAGGTACGTATGCATGCATGTATGTCGAGGAGGTGTGTATGTGTGTGCTTCTCTGTCTCGTGATCATGATGCTGTACTGGCAAAGGGAAGGAAGTGAGTCATTTGTTGGGGGGGGTTCTACCTTGGGAGTCGCACAGTTCATGAGTGTGAATTGTGAATGCAATAACAGTGCTTTTCGGTTGCTATATGATCATTTCGCCAACTGTTCCATCATCACCCGTGACGTCGTCATCTGGAATCCCGTGTTCGCCAGTGCAGAACGAGGTGATCTGTTTCCGGAGACTATGATTGGCTTTCTTCGTGGAAAGTTCAGACAACCTCATCAGCAGCTCTACTGTATGTTCTGCTGTTTTGTTCAGGTTGTGGAGAACTTCATGGACCCGACAGGACCGGCCAAGCAGATGACAAACACAGCGCTGCTGGAACCAACAGGTACGCTGTTCTGCGCATGCTGTACCTGCGCTGTAGTCTGAGCCTCAGGAGCACCCCATGTCTATCCTCTGGAGTAGAAGCTGTGCTTGCTTTTGTCGGAAAGAAAAAAATCACGGTTGGCATTTTACTCGGTTGACACGGTGTCAACTCGGTGTAGGAACGCCACCACCCTCAAGGATCAATGCGCTGAAACACTGGGCCCAAATATACTGGTGAAGCTGTTATGTCCCCTTACAGACTAGCATACATTCACTAGCCGCATCCTTACGTGCTCCCGCAAATGATTACGTATATTAATATGATAAATGCCAAGGCTGAGTTTTTGTAGGGAATAAAAACCGAGGCGCAACATGTGATGCCCGAAAATGAAGTACCCCCCCCCCCTCCCCTGGGTTCCCGCTGAAATCAGGGTCTGGGCACGAGGAAATCTAGCCTCTTTCTCTCCGGTAATTTGCATATCAGGTTTCTTGTGATTTCGTTGGGCTGCCGTGCCATGCGCTCCCACTGACATAGGGGTCTGGGCACAAGGGAATCTTTCACCAGTAATCTACATGGCACTTTTCTCTTGTGATTTCATTGTGCTGCGTTGCGTTGTGTGGTGTTCAGTGGCCGATCGCGAGGCGCAGTGGTCCGCCAAGGCCAAGGCGTTCACCAATCACGTGGAGGCCGCGTCTCGCACAGCCCTGCAGGTTGCCCGCAGCGGCGGTGTTCACGATGAAGCCACCGTGCATGAGATCATGGACACCATCAAACACCTGCAGTCGCTGGCCCCGCAGCTCGTCAGCAGCTCCAAGATAGTCCTGAACAACTACGGCAACGAGGTACGTGTGTGTGGAAAGCTTGGTGGTGTTTGCAGCTCTGTGTGTGTGTGGGGGGGGGGGGGGGGGGTGCGTGTGTTTTGGTTGTGTGGGTGGGTGCATGTGAGTATGTGAGGGGGTGTGGGGTGTCTGCGTGTGCGCGTGTGTCTGTGTTTGTGAATCGATTTATTTGTGGAAACCTCAAGCAGCCTAACTAGGTTTGACAATGGCCAAGATTTTTATTTCAACATCGGCCAAAGTGTCCCGCCGGCCAATCTGTCGTTAAGCCATTCGCTGTGTTGTGCACTGTGTGTGCTCGCGTACATGAATATTTGCATGTGGGCACACGGGGTTCGTGTTTATGTGTGTGTGTGTGTGTGTGTGTGCATGCGTGTGTTTGTGTGCATGCGTGTGTTTGTGTGCATGCGTGTGCGTTCATGCACGCGTACACATGTGTGTGCATTATACCCGTATCCAGGTGGCAGTTGACTTCATGCAGACTCTGAAGACGGAGTACTGTCAGCAAATGGATCGTCTCACTGGCCTCATGGACCAAGCTACCGACAGTGTGCAGTTCCTCAAGGCTTCTGGTACGCCGCCACCCCTAGCTATGATCTAGCATGACTTGTTCAATCTTATCGGGAATCATTGGGCTCTCTGGGCTTATCAATTTCCTTCATCTTTCTGTGAGAACCGGACCTATGGGACGGTGGGAAGGCAATCATACCTGTGCATTTGGTGAAGTAAAATAAAAGTCAACAACAACAACAATTAAAACCCGATTGAGCCACGTGCTCCAAGATCAGATTCTCATAGGACCTGAAATGGGTTTAGACCTGCGTACCTGTATGTGTATTGTTGCTAAACTCGGCCAAAGCCCGTTAAAAGCCTGGCTGAAAAATGTCTTCGTTATGGTCCAATTTGTGGATTATTACATACTAGTATTTTACTTTGTTAAGGTCTTCTAAACGGAATTGGTGGAGCATTTCACACTCCGCTACTGAAAATAATTCTGAAATGTTCAAAATGATATTCTTCCCAGCACTCCTTCCTGGGTATTTCACGAGGAAGTCGACCTACACATAGTTGAATGTTGGAACGTTATCCATGTTGAACTTTCGTAGACCATTGCCGCTAAGTGTACTTTGTGTATTGTGTGTGTGTGTGTGCCTGTCTGTCTGTGTGTCTGTATCTGTGTGTGTGTGTGTGTGTGTGTGTGTGTGTGTGTGTGTGTGTGTGTGTGTGTTGTGTGTGTGCTGTGTAACGCCGTGCAGAGGCACAGATCCATGCTGGACTGGAGAAGGCCAAGGCATCCTTGGTCAAAAATGATACAGAGGTAGGCCTTGCGCTTACTTGTGTGTGTGTGTGTGTGTGTGTGTGTGTGTGTGTGTGTGTGTGTGTGTGTGCGTGTGCGCGCGTGCTATGTTGTTGTTGTGTATAAGAGAACATCGGTGGGTCACATCCTGTGCATTTGCAGATTTGCGTGCTTCTCTTTTGACGGGCATGTAATACACTGTGCGTGTGTGCGTGCATGTGTGTGTTAACCCTTTAGAGTTTCACACATACATGAACCGGTCGAAAACGACCGGTTCGACTGACGTACTTAGAACTATGCGGGATGCGTACTCGCTGGTGCTACGAAGCTGCCGCTATGGCCAAGTCTGCCTGACACCTCCGCGTTCCGCTTGAGTGCACACATGGCATGGGTTTACATTTGATTTTTTTTTGTACTGGGCCACAGGAAGTGTTCGAAAGCTTCCGCCATGGCGCACAAGAATTTATCTGTTGACGAAGCGCTTGCCGCTGTGTTTTCTCATTCTGGATCCGCCGCACACGATGAAGACTCTGATGGCGAGTCGTCAGGTGGCCTGCCATCAAGCGAAGAGTCAGAGCTAGACGATGCTCTCATCTACGACCATCCAGTTGAAGATTTGGTCTCTGACGGCAGCGCTGATGATGACGAAGAAGAAGCTTCAGAGGAACCGCTTTCAGCTGGCTTGTCACGCTCCTCAGCTGACTCGAGTGACACATCAGCTGATTCCAGTGAAGAGGACGAGGCGCGCCCGCGACGCGAGAGCAGAGCTCCCACACGGCAGAGAGGACAAACTCGAGCTCCGCGTGCTCCTCGTGGCGGAGTTGGCGGAGTTCGCGGAGTTCGCGCTGCAGGCGGCGGACGTGGAAGAGTTGTGCGCGGAGGTGCCGCAACCGCTCCTGTGCAGGGCGAAGACAATGTCGGCGACTGGGATAGTGATGATGAGTGTCCTGACCAGCCTGAGTTTCGTCCTGCCCGTGAACCTGGCTGCCATTTCCCAGCTGATTTTGCGCCTGTGAAGGAGTTGGATTTCTTTCAACTTTTTTTCACACTTGGCATCGTTCAAGCTATTGTGGAGTTTACTAATGATAATGCTGGTATCCACATCCTGGAAAAACCATCCTATCAAGATGACCATGGCGCTTGGAAGCCCACGGACACAGCGGAAATTTATGCTCTACTTGGCCTGACAATTTACATGGGTATTGCTCGACTGCCACATCTATCTCACTACTGGAGCACATCTACTCTCTTTCATGGGCTGTGGGCACGGCATATGATCCCGACCTTTATTCGCTACAAAGCTCTGCTGTGTTTCCTCCACATTGTCGACCCTACTACTGAGGATGCGGCTGACAAGCTACGGAAAGTCCGCTTGGTGAATGATCATTTCCAGCAGAAGTGCCGGGAACTTTTTCAGCCTTTCCAAAGTATTGCGATCGATGAACGGATGGTCAAGTCAAAAGCACGCTTCGCATTCAAGCAGTACATCTCAACCAAGCCTGTTCGCTTTGGATTCAAAGTGTTTGCCCTTTGCGACAGTGCCCTGCACTATCTTTATAACTTCAAAATCTACACTGGCCGTGAACATGCCGGCCAAGTGGAGCATGGCTTGGCACATAATATTGTTACAGAACTCCTTCAACCTCTGTCCGGCCAGGGATATAAGTTATACACTGACAATTTCTACACTTCTCCTCACCTGTTCTCTGACCTCTTTGAAAATCACAAAACTGCTGCTGCTGGAACCTGTCAGGTCAATCGACGGGGCTTCCCTGCTGTCCTCAAAAATACGAAAACGTTTCAGCGTAGAGCTGAAAGAGGGAAAATGCGGTTTGTACGCGGTGGAGACCTCCTTCACCTACAATGGATGGACAAACGTCCGGTGACAGTCATATCCACTATGCACAGCGCTGCTGACTATGTCAATGTTACAAGGAAGGTGAAAGAAAATAACATCTTGCGTGACCTGGAATTGAAGAAGCCAAAATTGATACATGACTACAATTTCGCTATGGGTGGAGTGGACCTGTTCGACCAGCACGTAGCGACGTACAGGGTGCTGCGGAAAACACGCAAGTACTGGAAGACTCTGTTTTTTGACTTTGTGGATGTAGCTGTGGTGAATTCATGGGTTCTCTTTCAGCAGTGGGTGGCTAAAAACCCAGGCGTCATCAAAATGCCGAAGGATTACAGTCAGCTTGACTATCGTCTTGCAGTTATCCGGCAGCTTGTGAACATCACTGACAAGACCAAGGTGCCCCTTCGAAAGCCTGGACCATCGACCAGCACGGCCAA